GGATTTATAAATATATATTTGTTATATTTGTTTATTTATTCTTATTGTTTTTTACTTTATATGGTTTTTTGAGTCCATACTTTAAATATGATCATAAGAAACCGTTATGTAAACCGATCTTGTTTAATCGAAAAACAGGTAAAGTATTTTTTTATTTAACTGATGCTGAGTATATCGAGCGAGATTGGAAAGATGTTGTTTATGTGATGGGGACAAGTTTTGGTCTTTCAGGATTTACCTTAAGAGAGCTTAGAGCGCATATTGTAGATGATGGCCTGTTAAAACATACCTTTGTTATTGGCTTTCCAATGATTGGTTGGGATAATACCCAAGGCTTATGGTCATTTATATGTCATTTTATGCATAAAGGACCAGCAGAACTTTATCCAAAGCCTAATCCTATGTATGGAACAATAGATCCGTTTACACAATTAACGTTTTGCCAACAGGTCGTTGGAGCAAAAGAAAGTTATCGAGATACATGGAAGTCATTTCGAATCATTTATCATGATAACTGGGTTCCTGCCTTATTTTCCTATCCTTTCGATGTATGTAATTTTATTGCAAGACGAATATTGCTCAATATAAAGCCTGTACCTGTATGGCATAAAGAAGTCATTCTTAAGAATAAAATGGAACAACAACGCCCAGAGGAAATCAGCTTTAAAGACAACTTTGAATTTAGTATGTTTGAGATGAAAGATAAATGATAAAGCGCGCAAGCGCTTTGATCTTTAATGATTAAAATGAAAATTATATTTTTTTGTGAGCTTAATATTTGGAAGCATCAGTAAAATGGTTACATGATGAAAAGTAAAATTAAAAAACATGTGTTTGGTTATGATGTTTTTAGGGAAAATATACCTTTTTCAAAATTGGATGAAGGTGATGTACTTTTATCTCCTCATGATGAGTTTAAACGTAATCATAACTGGTCTTTTCTAAGCATGAATGATGATTATATTGAACTTATAGATCAATCTTATGCAAGACTTGGAAAAGGCTTAAGCCCATTTATATTTGTAATTCCACTGATGTTAATTGCATTATATTTTTTATACTTATATTTTACTCTTGGTGGTGATAGTAATGATTCAATATTTATAACTTTCTTGATTGTAACTTCTGTTGTTTTTATAATATGGTTTTGCTTTTTTGTTTTTTTTCGTCCTTTTTATAAATATGATTATAAGAAACCATTATGTAAGCCGATTTTATTTAACCGAAAAACAGGCAAAGTTTTTTTTTATTTAACTGATGCTGAATATATAGAGCGAGATTGGAAAGATGTTGTTTATGTAATGGGGAATAGCTTTGGTCTCTCAGGTGCACCTCTAAGAGAGCTTAGAGCACATATTGTTGAAGATGGTCTGTTAAAACATACTTTTGTCATTGGCTTCCCGATGATGGGTATATTCCGTACCCAAGGCTTATGGTCATTTATATGTCATTTTATGCATAAGGGACCTGAAGAACTATATCCAAAGCCTCATCCGATGTATGGAACGATAGATCCGTTTACTCAATTAACGTTTTGCCAACAGGTCATTGGAGCAAAAGAAAGTTATCGAGATACATGGAAGTCATTTCGAATCATTTATCACTATAATTGGGTTCCTGCGTTATTTTCCTATCCTTTTGATCTTTTTAATTTTATTGCAAGACGAATATTGCTCAATATAAAATCTCTACCTGTATGGCATAAAGAGGTTATCCTTAAAAATAAAATGGAACAACAACGTCCAGAGGAGATCAGCTTTAAAGACAACTTTGAATTTAGTATGTTTGAGATGAAAGATAAATGATAAAGCGCATAAGCGCTTTGATCTTTAATGATTAAAATGAAAATTATATTTTTTTGTGAGCTTAATATTTGGAAGCATCAGTAAAATGGTTGCATGATGAAAAGTAAAATTAAAAAACATGCGTTTGGTTATGACGTATTTAAAGAAAATATACCTTTTTCAAAATTAGAGGAAAATGATGTACTTTTAACGCCTTATGATGAATTTAAACGCAATCATAACTGGTCTTTTTTAAGCATGAATGATGACTATATTGAGCTTATTGACCAATCTTATGCAAGGTTAGGGAAGGGAATCAGTCTTTTAGTTTTATGTTTTCCTGTATTGTTATTAATATTTCATATCCTATATTTGTATTTTACACTTGGTGGAGGTCCTAACGAGTCTATTTATTTTTCAATATCTGTCGTTATTTCTGCATTGATTACCTTTTTTTTACCACTATACGCATTTTTGAATCCTTTCTTTAAATATGATTATAAAAAGCCAATATGTAAACCGATCTTGTTTAACCGAAAAACAGGCAAAATATTTTTTTATTTAACTGATGCTGAGTATATCGAGCGAGATTGGAAAGATGTGGTTTATGTGATGGGGAATAGCTTTGGTCTTTCAGGTGCACCTTTAAGAGAGCTTAGAGCACATATTGTGGAAAATGGTATTTTAAAACACACATTCGTCATTGGTTTTCCTATGATTGGTATCTTTCGTACCCAAGGTTTATGGTCATTTATATGTCATTTTATGCATAAGGGACCAGCAGAACTATATCCAAAGCCTAATCCGATGTATGGAACAATAGATCCGTTTACGCAATTAACATTTTGCCAACAGGTCATTGGTGCAAAAGAAAGTTATCGGGATACGTGGAAATCATTTCGAATTATTTATCATGATAATTGGGTTCCTGCTTTATTTTCTTTTCCTTTTGATCTTGGTAATTTTATTGCAAGACGAATATTGCTTAATATAAAGCCTCTACCTGTATGGCATAAAGAGGTTATCCTTAAAAATAAAATGGAACAACAACGTCCAGAGGAGATCAGCTTTAAAGACAACTTTGAATTTAGTATGTTTGAGATGAAAGATAAATGAAAAATCCATGGTATTTCGTTCCTCGTACAAAAGTTGGAGAAAGTGTAAAGAAGTATCAACTCTTTAAACTCGATACTTTTGAACTCAAACGTGTGATCAATCATAACTTTTCTGTTATTCAGATGAATTCGACATTTATAGAATTTATTAATAAAGAGTATATTTGGATTGGAAAGTCATTTATTTATTCTTTATTAATGGATATCCCCGTACTTGTAATGAGTATTTTCTTTATATATTTGATTTTTTTTGATTATGGTGAAATAGATTATATTATGTGGTTTGGAGCCATATCTATTTTTATTGCAAGCTTATATATTCTTCTAACGATGCTTCAGCCATTGATAAGGAGTGAACTCCTTAAACCTTTATACAACTCTATAATTCTAAATAGGAAGAACAAAGAAATAACTTTCAGTAAAAGTAATGAAATCCTGCAATTAAAATTAAGTGATCTTTATTTTGATATCGTTCAATCACAAGGTGTAGTGGGGCTACCGCTATATGAGTTACATGCCTATATACTTGATGGTGAAGTGATAAAACATGATATACAGTTGGGTACACCCAATATTCATAAAGACTATATAGAAGGCTTTTTACTATTTATAAAAACTTATGTAGAACAGGGGCCTGAACCACTGTACTACAGAAAAGGGATAGATGATCCTGAGCAAGATTATAAAAGTAAATTAACATATTGTTATGATATTCAAGAGAAAAAAGAATCCTTTAAGCAAAGTTGGCAAACCGTGTTTATCAATCATTTTCAGACACCACTCTATGCGCTTATTTTTGCCATACCTGAATTTATTCGGTTCTTTGGACGACGAATCACAGTTCTTTTTTCAAAACCATTTTATTGGAGTGAACAGCTTAAAAAAGATAATTCCGTAGATGAAAATGATCCATATATAGTGACAGCAAAAGACAATTTAAAATTTGGTTTCTTTAGCGTGAAAGATAAATAAAAAGATTAAAATTAATTTTTATCTTTAATTATATTAATGGGTTAAATATGATAAATGGCAATTTGCAATACCCAGCTTATAAGAATAGTAGGGTATTGACCCAAAAAGAAAACATAGCATGAAAAAAAAGCCCCTCAGGGCTTTCTTATCTCAACACATTCTTAAGGTAATTGCTTAATCGGACTACCACCCAAAGCTTGCATCAAAGTGACATAAGCATTGTATTGGCTTTGCTTTGCTTGGACTAAAGACAAACGAGCACTACGCGTGGTTTCTTGAGCATCCAAAACATTTTTTAAAGCAATTGCACCATTACGATAGCGTACATTGGTCAAACGTTCTGTTTTTTCCGCAAGTTCCAAGTTCTTTTGTTGAAAGGCGACTTGTTTATCTAGCTCAGTACGATTCGACAATGCATTTTCAGTATCTGCAAAAGCTTGGTACAAGGTATTGCGATATTGAACAATGGCTTTTTCATAGTCCAGTTCACTGATTTTTAAATTCTTTTGCATATCATTATATTGCAAAAACGGCAGGCTTAAGCTTGCGCCTAAAGTCAGTGCAGGATTTTTCAATAAATTTGTCAATGATGTGCTGGTTGAACCTAAATTCCCCGTCAAACTGATTGAAGGATAATAGCTGGCTTTGGTGGCATCTTTGGTCGCCAAAGATTCACGTAAACGCAATTCGGCTGCTTTTAAATCAGGACGGCGCGACAAAATATCTGCCGGTAAACCCGCTGAGATATTGGGTAGACTGATCTGCGGTAATTGCTGTGGTTCTTGAATATTTAACTGTTGCACAGGTATTTGTAATAACACTGCCAAAGCGGTACGTGTTTCAACACGTTGCTGTTCAATTTGGCTTAAACTGGCTTTTTGGCTTTGTACCGATTGCTCAGCTTGGGTCAAATCTAGTCCTGAAACTGCGCCAGCGCGATATTGAGTACGCACCAATTCAAAGGTTTTTTGAGTAGCAGCTAGGCTTTGTTGGGCAGAGCTGTAACGTTCATTTAAATAACCCAATTGCCAATATAAATTTGCGGTTGTGGCAATTAAGGTCTGCCCAGTGGCTTGTAAGTCTTGTTCAGTGGCTAAAGATTCCCACTTCGATGCTTCAGTTTGACGTGCTAATTTTCCAAACAAATCCACTTCATAACTGACACCCGCACTGAGAGATAGACCTTTGGCAGCATCATCACCTGAATGAAGGTCAAAGCTATGGCCTGTAGATACTCCAGAATTAACACGAGGCCCTTGTTGGTCACGCGCTAAGCCAGCTCTTAAACGGGCTGTTTGTAAGTTAATCCCTGCAACAGCCAAATCAGCATTACGTTGAATTACTTGATTGACCAGTTGATTTAACTGAGCATCACCAAATAAGGTCCACCACTGATCTGCATATAAATCTGCCTGAACGTGTTTAGATTTTGCATTGTCGTAAACAAAACCATTTGGAATTTGCACAGCAGGGGCCTCGTATGGGGTTTTAACCACAGCCGAACAACCGACCAATGAACTCCCAAGAATCAAGGCGCTTGCAAGTTTGCTTAAATTCATTTGCATTAATAATTTCCTTATTCTTCGGTTATTCACGCGAAAGTGCATCAACAGGATTGAGCTGTGCTGCATTGCGAGCTGGGATAAATCCAAATACCACACCAATCAAGGTTGAACATACAAATGCCGCAATGATAGAGGTGCTTGAATACGCCATTTGGAAACTGCCTTTGGCAATATGTCCAATCAACTGTCCAATGCCTAAAGAGAGCAGGACCCCTAAGATACCGCCCAAAATACACACCAAAACAGCTTCGATCAGGAACTGTTGCAGAATGTCACTTTGCCGAGCACCTACAGCCATACGCACACCGATTTCTTGGGTACGCTCGGTCACAGACACCAACATGATGTTCATTACCCCAATACCACCGACAACCAATGAAATCACCGCAATAGCTGAAACCAGTAAAGTCATGGTTTGTGTGGTCTGTTCAATGGTTTGACGAATACTGTCAGAGTTTTGAGTAAAGACATCTTGTGCGCCATGACGTTGTTCCAACAAACTTAAAATGGCATTTTCAGCAACCGCAGTTGGATATTCATCTTTAATACGCACGATGATGCTACGGACATTGGATTGTCCTAACATTCGGCTCATGACGGTTGAATAAGGTAGATAAACATTGAGACTGTCTGAGTTGCCCATAAAGCCTTGCTGTGCATCAATCACACCAATGATTCGGCTTGGAACACTCCCCAATAACAGCACTTGACCTACAGGGTTAGTGCCATCTGCAAAGAAAGTCTTTTCAGTATTGGCATCAATCACCACATCCTGCGCTCGCCCAGTGATACTGTTTTTATCAAAAGCTTGCCCAGATTTAAAGGTCATACCACGCACATAGAAGAAATCAGCACTGACACCATTGACGGTTGCAGAAGCTTCGGTGTCTTTAAAACGTGCTGTTACGCTACTATTGACTGTTGGACTGACTGCTTCGACATAAGGTTGCTCTGAGAGTGCCTCAGCATCTGCTGGAACCAAGGTTTTAAACTGTGCTGTCTTCGAGTTGTCACCAAAGCCACGTCCCTGAAAGACGGTAATGGTATTGGTGCCTAAACTGCTGATGTTATCAAGAATCTGTTTTTGTGAGCCATTGCCCAAAGCCACCACCGAGACCACAGATGCAATCCCGATAATAATACCCAGCATGGTTAAAAAGGTACGCATACGATGGGCATTCATTGCCAGCAAGGCCATACGGAAGGCTTCTGCAAAACGATCTAATGCAGAACGCCATTTAGATGACTTTTTACGATTCGACTTAGGTTCTGGGTCGACAACAACATCAATCTCATCATCATGTTCGGGAACATTTGGCTTATCCGCGATGATGTTACCATCACTGATTTCAATGATACGTGTCGCATTTTTTGCCACATTCATATCATGGGTAACCAGGATGATGGTATGCCCTTTGGCATTGAGCTCACGTAAAATACGCATAACCTCAACACCACTGTGCTTATCTAGTGCACCAGTTGGCTCATCCGCAAGGATGACATCACCACCATTCATCAAAGCACGGGCAATCGAAACTCGCTGTTGTTGTCCACCCGAAAGCTGATTTGGACGGTTTTCAGTTTTTTCACCGAGTCCTAAGTCAGTCAAGATTTCATGTGAACGCTTTTGACGCACACTCGGATCCATACCAGCATAAATCGCTGGGACTTCAACGTTTCCTGCGGCATTTAAATCACCCAATAAGTGATAGCGCTGGAAAATAAAGCCAAAATATTCACGGCGTAATTGCGCGAGCTCATCGGGTTCAAGTTGACCTGTTTCACGTCCATTGACTTGATAACTACCTGATGTAGGTTGATCCAAACAGCCCAAGATATTCATCAATGTCGATTTACCCGAACCAGATTGCCCAACAATAGCAACCAGTTCACCGGGGTAAATTTTAAGGTTAATACTCTTTAAAATCTGAATAGTGGATTCACCCGCAGGGAACTCACGAATCAGATTACTGACCTCAAGTAGAGGTTTGATCTGATGATTGTTCTGATCCATGCTTAGAGTCTCATTGGGCCACTGTTTTTATTGCTTCGTTTTGCAGAGTCATTGGATGTATCTGAACCATCTGCTAGTACAACTTGATCACCTTCATTGAGGCCACGCAGTACTTGGGCGGTTACACGGTTATTTAAACCAATTAAAACTTGTTTACGTTGAGCACTACCATCCGCCTGTAAAACGCGAACAATCGAAACCGAAGCTTTACCTTGATCAATCAAAGTCTTTTCATCTGCTGTGAGTTCAAGGCGTTCTGGGCGATCAGCAGCATTTTGTCCATTTTTATTTGCTTGACCTTGAGGTGCAGATGCTGAACGAGTTGAATTTGCACCAGATGCGCCATTTGCGGATTTATTGGCACGTTGTGGGCGGTTTGAAGACTGTAATGCCGCAGCAGGAACAGTCAGTGCATTTTTGGCTTCAGCCAGAATGATATACACCTGTGCGGTCATATCAATTCGGAGTTTACCGTCATCGTTTGGTACATCGAATAGGGCATTATAATAAATCGCTGTACTTGTTGATGATGAAGATGAGTTGCTTGATGTTTCAGTATTAATTGATTCTGGTGCTGGCTCTACTTGACGCAGTGTTGCATAGCGTTTTTTCTCACTATCACCCAGTGTAGTGAAATAAACTTTTTGACCTTCTTGAACTTTCATGACATCTGCTTCAGACACTTGTGCCTTGATGGTCATGGTGTCCAATTTTGCAAGTTTCACAATAGTCGGTGCACTTTGGTTGGCGTTTACCGTTTGACCTTCTTCGGTCACAATGGCTACCACGGTGCCGTCCATAGGTGCAACAATACGGGTATAACCTAAGTTTTCTTGTGATGTTGCAAGTGTAAGTTTGGATTGCTCAATTTGTGCATCCATCGAAGCAATATCAGCTTGTGCTGTTTTAAATGCGGCTAAGGCACTGTCATAATCTGCTTTAGAGGTTGCATCTTGTGCAAACATATTTTTTTGGCGGTTATATTCTGCCTCAGCTTTGGCTAAAGTCGCCTGTTTGGTTGTCAACTGAGCCTGTTGATTTTTAATATTGGCTTCAGCCGTTTTTAAATCGTTGCTTTGACGCACTGAATCAATTTGTGCAATCAGTTGACCTTGTTTAACTTGGTCACCCAGCTTGACGTACATTTTTTTAACTTGACCCGAAACCTGCGCACCAACGCTCACCATCTTGGTTGCTTCTAAATCACCTGTTGCAAGAACTGCATCTTCAATATCACCACGTGTGACTTCTGAGGTTATATACTGAGGTTGTGTATTTTTAGGCTTTAATACATACCATGCGATTGCGGCAATGATGGCAAGACAAACCGCTATAAGAATGGCTTTGGCTGGTTTTATTTTTGGCATAGCGATAATTGGGCTGAGAGAAAAATTGATCAAATTATAATGATTAAATAAGGATAAAGCGTGAATTTTTTAAAATAAATGGAAATGAGAATTATTCTGTATAATATCTATCTAAGCATTGATAAATAAAGTTTTTCCACACAACTCAGCAATACATTGTTGAATGATATGTTCTGGACTTTCTTTGCTGAGTCCTTTGATTGCAGCATCTACACGCAATAAAAGTTGTGGCCAAGTTAAAAATGAATGTGGATTTAAGCGTCTAAGTGCTTGTTGATACAATGAAATCTTGGTTTTCCAAATGCCGAGCTGTAAGGCATTTTGTGGTTGTTCATACAACTGCATCAAAAGACGCATTTCTTTACTAATTGTCCATAAAATTAAACTGTTGGGTTCGCCTGACTCCACAAGATATTGGAAAATTTTAATCGAAAGTGCCAAGTTTCCAGCAATCAATGCATCACTTAAATCAAAGGTGCTATAACGTGATTGATCCTGTAAACATTCTTGTAAATGTTCAATTGAAATCTGTTTTTGATCTGGGAAGGTATCGGCAACACGCATCAGGCTATTTTTGGCAGCCAAAAGATTATGTTCATGATGTTGTTCAAGCCAGATCCAGGCATCTTGATTTAATTGGACACCGAGCTGATCTGCTTCGATTGACAATATTCGTTGACGGTCTTGCGGGTAATTTGCGGTTAAAGCAATCACAACACCATTGGCTTCAACGGTTTGAAAGAAACTTGACTTTAGACTACTTGAGTCTTGTTTGGGCATAATGATCACAAGCAAGTTGTGTTCATTATGTTGAATATAGTGTTTGAGTTGTTTGAGTCCATTGGCATCGGGTTTGATATTACCATGGACTTCAAGTGCCAGATTTTGAGAAAATAAAGATAAGCTATTCAAAGCATTAAAGACATTTTTCCAGTCGGAAACGCTATTGAGATCATAGCGTTGTCTTTCTACTTCATGTTTTGCCCAGCTTTTTCTTAAAGCATCGAGTAGGTTTTGTTCTAGAAGTGGTTCTTGACCATGTAAAATCCAAACACCTCGCGCTTCATCAACACGTTTAAGGGCTTGTAAATAGTCAAGTTTCATAAAATTATTGCGCTACAGGTTGGTTCGAAAGAGTACGTGCTTTAGGTAAGCGGTTGGCTGCAATTTGACGCGACATTTGTTGTGCAATGTCATCAATCAAAATTTGGCTCAGATATTTATATTGTTGATCATCTGTGTTGACCGTTGCAACATCATATTGATAACTACGAGATGCATTTAAGGTCCGAGGTTCAGTAATCGGATTCCCTTGTTTATCTTCAATCTGGAAAGTAACACTTAGACGGAGTAGTGTTTCTACCAATTTACCATTTAACTCATGACGAACAGGCTTGTAGTCTAATACTCGTAATACATAAGCATCACTTGAATTACTCAGTTGGACACCTGTTGCAGTTAAATAAACACTGAGTTTCTTTTCAAGATCTTCAGTATTCGCTGGTAACACCAGTTGTAATTTAGTGTAAACCAAAGGCGTTGCTTGGGCATTGGTGCCCTTTAAATGAAAGCCACAACCTACTAAGCCCGCACTCAGACCCAAAGTTAATACAACTGCAGCAACACGTTGAACTAAATGCATGCTTTGTCCTCATGAAATTCCATTGGATATGGAATATTTAATCTTTATAAATTCACGCCATTTTAGAATCAAAGCCCGTTGAATGACAACGGGCTTTGTTTGGGTTTTGTTTATTCTACTAAAGTCCCTTCTCCCTTAGGGAGAAGGTTAGGATGAGGGGAATGACCTCTCCCTAACCCTCTCCTAGAAGGAGAGGGGATTTAAGCAGAAATTAAACCACCAAATTCACAAGCTTATTTGGAACCACAATTTCTTTCTTGGTTGGACCTGTTAAGAATTGCTGAACCTCAGGTAACGCTTTAGCCAATGCCAATAATTCATCTTTCGATGCATCGACAGAGACTTCTAACTTGCCACGAAGCTTACCATTGACTTGAACTACGATGGTTTGTGTATTACGTGTTAATGCAGACTCATCAACCGTAGGGAACAGTACCGAAGTTAAATCGATATCAAACTCAGTCAATAAGGTCTGACTTAAGTGTGGTGCAAATGGTGCAAGTAAAGTCAGTAAAGTGGTAATTGCTTCACGTGCTACAGCAACATCGTTGTCATCTTTTGCTTCAAACTTATTGCTGGCATTGAGCAATTCCATCAAAGCTGCAATCGCGGTATTGAATGCATGACGACGTTCGATGTCATCACCCACTTTTTGAATCGTTTCATGAGTTTTACGACGCAGGTCTTGTGCTTCAGTGGAAAGTTTCGAAGCATCAATTGCTGTTGCATGGTTGCCTTTTTCAAGGAAACCTGCTGCCAAACGCCATACACGTTTTAAGAAACGATTTGCACCTTCAACGCCCGCATCAGACCATTCTAAAGATTGATCTGGTGGTGCAGCAAACATCATAAATACACGTGCGGTATCCGCGCCGTACTGGTCAATAATCGCTTGTGGGTCGATACCGTTATTTTTCGATTTCGACATTTTCTCTTGACCACCAACCACAACGTCTTGACCGTCACCTGAATATTTAGCAGAAAGTACACGACCTTTCTCGTCTTTTTCTAACTCAATATCCGCAGGATTAAACCAAGTTTTTTTGCCACTTTCCGCTTCACGATAGAAGGTATCCGCTAAAACCATACCTTGAGTCAATAAGTTGGTAAATGGTTCATTGCCTTGTACCACACCCTCATCACGCATAAGTTTATGGAAGAAACGAGCATAAAGTAAATGTAGGATTGCATGCTCTACACCACCAATATATTGGTTTACAGGCAACCAAGATTTTGCAGCTTCAGGTTTAACTAAACCACCCGTGAAATCAGGAGAAGCATAACGTGCATAATACCAAGATGACTCTACAAAGGTATCCAAAGTATCGGTTTCACGACGTGCATCACCACCACAGCTTGGGCATTTTGTTTGATAAAATTCAGGCATTTTATTTAAAGGATTACCTGAACCATCTGGAACCACATCTGTTGGAAGAACAACTGGCAGTTGATCTTCTGGAACAGTGACTTGACCACACTTATCACAGTTGATCATCGGAATTGGACAACCCCAGTAACGTTGACGAGAAACCCCCCAGTCACGTAAACGGAATTGAACTTTAGCGCTGGCAAGACCTTGTGGTTCTAATTTGCTTAGGAATGCATCAAAAGCAGCTTGGAAGTCTAAGCCGTCAAATTCAGCTGAATTGACCAATTTACCTTCTTTAGAACCGTACCATTCTTGCCATTCTGACGCAGAATATTCAGCATCATCTGAGCCTTTGGCATCAATGACTTGTTTGATTGGTAAGTTGAACTTATTGGCAAATTCAAAATCACGCTCATCATGTGCAGGAACGGCCATCACCGCGCCTGAACCATATGACATCAATACATAGTTTGCGATCCAAACAGGAATATCTTGACCCGTAACAGGGTGTTTAACTGATAAACCTGTTGCCATGCCTTTTTTCTCAGCAGTCGCAAGATCCGCTTCTGCAACAGAACCCATACGACATTCTTCAATAAAGGCAGCAAGTTCTGGCTTGCCTGCTTCAGATTGAATCGCAGCAGCTTTGAGCGCTAGAGGATGTTCAGCTGCAACCGCAACATAAGTTACCCCCATCAAGGTATCGGCACGTGTGGTATAAACCGTTAAACCATCTGCATAAACTTCGGGATTTGCTGACGGGAAGGTAATGTCCATACCCGTTGAACGACCAATCCAATTGCGTTGCATGGTTAAAACTTGTTGTGGCCAACCGTCTTTTAAGGTATCTAAATCGTCTAATAATTCTTGTGCATAATCGGTAATACGGAAGTAATACATTGGAATATCACGTTTTTCTACCAATGCACCTGAACGCCAACCACGTCCATTTTCAACTTGTTCATTTGCAAGAACAGTTTGGTCTACAGGATCCCAGTTTACTGTAGACAACTTGCGATAAATTAAGCCTTTTTTATAGAGCTGTACAAATAACCATTGTTCCCAGTGGTAATACTCTGGTGTACAGGTGGCAAATTCGCGATCCCAGTCGACAGATAGACCAAGTTTCTTCAATTGATCGCGCATATATGCAATATTTTCAAAGGTCCACTTTGCTGGTGCAACTTGATGAGCAATCGCTGCATTTTCAGCAGGTAAGCCGAAAGCATCCCAACCCATCGGTTGTAGCACAGTTTCACCTTTGAGACGGTGAAAACGGCTGATCACATCACCAATAGTATAATTACGCACATGACCCATATGCAGTTTGCCGCTTGGGTAAGGGAACATCGAGAGGATATAACGACGTGGACCTTCTACAGTGTCGGCAACTTTAAACGATTTGCGATCTTCCCAGTCTTTTTGGACTTGAGGCTCAATCGCATTTGCTTGATATTCAGGGTCAATATGAGTAGTCATAAATGTATTTGAGAATAATGGTTAAAAAACTGTGCACACAGCATAGCGCAAAATCCATCTAAAAGTGAATTTTGCACGCTTTTAAATCTGAAAAACTTGTGATTTTACTTTTAATTTAATTATTGAGGCGTCGCAAGGCTAGGAGGTGTATTTTGCTCATTTTGTGGTGCGACATTCGGCTGTTGTGTATTTGGTGGGTTAACCACTGGTGCAGGTGTTACAGGTTGAGTACCTTGAGGTTGCCCATTTTGTGGCTGATTTTGTGAGGCATTTGGCTGAGCAGTTGGTGCTGGGTTGGTGGGTCTCGAATCTCCATGATAGCCATAAGTATTCACCTTACTTTGGCTGCGCGCATTCTTCGGCGGCGGTGTGGTGGTGTAATGGGTAGAGCCTTTGCTATCTACCCATTTATAATACTGTTTTGCATGACTGGCGCTGACCCCAACCATAGAGAATAAGGCAAAAATTGTCGATACAAAAACCGTGTGTGCAAAGCGTTGACGTTGTTTCATTTTATAGAACCTTTGAGTCATTTTTTATTCAGATGAAAACGAAAAATCATTCTGCTATCTAATATACATCGGATTGTTTTCGCTTGATCTGGGTATTTTAAAAATCGTATTTATTTTATACAGAAAAATAAAATTTTAAATAATTCTTTTGCAATTTTATTGGCTTATAAGTCTTTGAAAGTTTTATTTATAAGACAACCAAAAAAAAGGAATAGTTTTAAAAATAAACGCTTGGTAAATAAACAATAAAAAGCCTGATAGAAACCTTGACTTTGTTCGCTAAAACTACAAAAATGCTTGCTTTAGTTTCAGATGTTTTTTTCGATCACCCTTCGAGTAAAAATATCAAAGCAAGCAATAACATTTTCTCTAAGCCGAGAAAATGACTCTACCGAAGCATGTTTATCCCAACATATTTCAGTGATTCATACAGCTCAAACAGCTGCGTGACGATTTATTTTTTTATTGCTGCAAAAACTAGTAAATATGTGTGCTATAACAGAGCGCACAATCAATGAATGAAACACAGTCTGTGTCTCCCATAGCGCTGTGGAATAAAGATTAGGGTGAATACGTTGGAACTTTTATCTGGTGGTGAAATGCTCGTTCGTGCATTGGCGGACGAAGGCGTTGAACATGTTTTTGGATATCCAGGCGGCGCAGTATTACATATTTATGATGCGCTATTTAAACAAGATAAAATCAATCATTACCTCGTACGTCATGAGCAAGCTGCTGGTCATATGGCAGATGCTTACTCACGTGTGACGGGTAAAACAGGTGTAGTGCTGGTCACTTCTGGACCTGGCGCAACCAATACTGTAACACCAATCGCTACAGCCTATATGGACTCAATCCCAATGGTGATTTTGTCTGGACAGGTTGCCAGCCATCTTATTGGTGAAGATGCATTCCAAGAAACAGATATGGTCGGTATTTCTCGCCCGATCGTAAAACATAGTTTCCAAGTGCGTCATGCAAGTGAAATTCCTGCCGTTATTAAAAAAGCATTTTATATTGCTGCTTCAGGTCGTCCGGGTCCTGTTGTGGTCGATATTCCGAAGGATGTCACTAATCCTGTCGACAAATTTGCTTATGAATATCCTGAAAAAGTGAAGATGCGCTCTTATCAGCCACCTCACCGCGGTCATTCAGGTCAAATTCGTAAAGCCATTGATGAGCTGATTAATGCCAAACGCCCTGTCATTTATACAGGTGGTGGTGTTGTTCAGGGTAATGCTTCTGCATTACTGACTGAATTGGCGCATTTATTGAATTACCCAGTGACCAATACGCTAATGGGTTTGGGTGCATTCCCAGGCGATGATGAGCAATTCTTGGGTATGTTGGGTATGCATGGTACATACGAAGCCAATATGAGTATGCATAATGCGGATGTTATCTTGGCGATCGGTGCGCGTTTTGATGACCGTGTAACCAATAATCCAGCGAAGTTCTGTACCAATGCGAAAGTGATTCATATTGATATCGACCCAGCGACGATTTCAAAAACCATTATGGCGCATATCCCAATCGTGGGTGCGGTAGAGCCAGTACTTCAAGAGATGTTGGTTCAATTGAAACAAATGAATGTTTCTAAACCAAACCCTGAAGAAATCTCGGCATGGTGGTCACAAATCAACGAATGGCGCAAAGTACATGGTTTGCGTTATGCGCCAGGTGAAAATGGTGTGATGAAACCACAACAAGTGGTTGAAGTCTTAGACAAAGTAACCAATGGTGAAGCGATCATTACTTCTGACGTTGGTCAGCATCAAATGTTTGGTGCGATGTATTACAAATACAAACGTCCACGTCAATGGATCAACTCAGGTGGCTTAGGCACAATGGGTGTGGGTTTACCTTATGCCATGGCTGCGAAACTTGCATTCCCAGACCAACAAGTGGTGTGTATCACAGGTGAAGCATCGATTCAGATGTGTATCCAAGAGCTTTCTACATGTAAGCAATATGGCTTAAATGTGAAAATCCTCTGCTTGAATAACCGTGCTTTGGGGATGGTAAAACAATGGCAAGATATGAACTATGAAGGACGTCATTCAAGTTCTTATGTTGAGTCATTACCCGATTTTCCAAAATTGATGGAAGCTTACGGCCATGTAGGTATCCAGATTGACCATGCGGATGAGCTTGAATCTAAGCTTAAAGAAGCAATGGCGATTAACGATAAATGTGTATTCATTAACGTGATGGTTGATCGTACCGAGCATGTATATCCGATGCTTATTGCAGGTCAATCTATGCAAGATATGTGGTTGTCTAAAGGGGAGCGTACTGAATGAGACATATTATTTCTGTACTCGTTGAAAACGAAGCTGGTGCGCTTTCTCGTTTAGTGGGGTTGTTCTCTCAACGTGGTTATAACATTGAAACTTTAAATGTCGCACCAACTGAAGATCCAACCATGTCACGTTTGACATTAACCACCTATGGCGATGATCATAAAATTGAGCAAATCACCAAACAGCTGAATAAATTGGTCGAAGTGGTTAAAGTGGTTGATTTGTCAGAAGGCGCGCACATTGAGCGTGAGCTGATGCTGATTAAAGTCAAAGCATTGGGTTCTGCACGTGCTGAAATTAAGCGCACAGCGGATATCTTTCGTGCTCAAGTGGTTGATGTTACTCCAACGACTTATACCATTCAGATTGCGGGTACAACTGAAAAAATTGATGGCTTTATTGATGCTCTTGCAGAAAACACAATTTTAGAAGTTGTTCGTTCTGGTGTATCCGGTATTGCTCGTGGTGAAAAGGTTCTTTCACTCTAGTTGCACCTCAACCAGTAATTAATTATTTGATTTTTTATTCCCTCATGTATAACCTCTCCTCGCAATAGGAGAGGGACTTAGACTAGAAGATTCAAAACAATAATCTTCAGGATAGGAAGAGGAAACACAGCATTTTAGCGGAGACAGCAATGCAAATTTTTTATGATAAAGACTGCGACTTATCTATCATCCAAGGTAAAAAAGTAGCGATCATTGGTTATGGTTCACAAGGTCATGCTCACGCGCAAAACCTTCAAGATTCAGGTGTAGACGTTACTGTTGGTTTACGTGCTGGTTCTACTTCTTGGAAAAAAGCTGAAAATGCAGGCCTTAAAGTTGCTGAAGTTCCAGCTGCTGTTGCTCAAGCTGATTTAGTGATGATCTTGACACCAGATGAGTTTCAATCACAGCTTTATCGTGACGTGATCGAACCAAACATCAAAGAAGGTGCGACTTTAGCATTTGCACATGGTTTCGCTGTACTTTATAACCAAGTTGTTCCACGTAAAGATTTAGACGTGATCATGGTTGCACCAAAAGCACCAGGTCATACTGTACGTTCAGAATTCCAACGTGGTTCAGGTGTACCTGATCTTATCGCGATTCATCAAGATGCTTCTGGTAATGCACGTAACGTTGCGCTTTCTTACGCTTCAGGTGTAGGTGGTGGTCGTACAGGTATCATCGAAACTTCATTCCGTGAAGAAACTGAAACTGACTTATTTGGTGAGCAAGCAGTACTTTGTGGTGGTGCTGTTGAATTGGTTAAAATGGGTTATGAAACGCTTGTTGAAGCGGGTTATGCACCTGAAATGGCTTATTTCGAATGCTTGCACGAACTTAAATTAATCGTTGATTTAATGTTTGAAGGCGGTATTGCGGACATGAACTATTCAGTATCTAACAATGCTGAATACGGTGAATATGTGACTGGCGTTGAAGTGATCAACGAGCAATCACGTGAAGCGATGCGTAATGCACTTAAACGTATCCAATCAGGTGAATATGCGAAGATGTTCATCCAAGAGGGTGCATTGAACTATCCATCTATGACAGCTCGTCGCCGTCAAAACGCAGCTCACGGTATTGAAGTGACTGGCGGTAAATTGCGCGCGATGATGCCTTGGATTCAAGCCAACAAAATCGTAGATAAAGAAAAGAACTAATTTTTAGTTTTTATCAAAGCCCACTCTTTTGAGTGGGTTTTTTTATGCTATATTTTAGCTAAATTTAATAATAAAGCAGAAAACAACATGACATTAAAAACATATTTCGCTATCGCCAGTCTGCTTGGCTGTTGTGCTATATATCCAGTATATGCACAGAACGCGAGCGTTGATAATCCTATGCAAAAGTCTAGGCAGAATCATAATCAGCTTCAAAATACGCAAAATAAATTACTCGATGAAAAGATTGCGTACAATGCTTTAGAAAAAGCCAAGCAGTCTTTAAATGTGGGTCATCCACAACAGGCCATCGCGGCATTACAGACTGCAATTCAGTATTTTGAAAAATACCAAAACAGTAGTCAAGACACACTCTATGCTGCCAACGGAACAGCTGAAACCTTGCTATACCTGACGCTTGATATGGGAAAGCAAAAAAATATTCGAGTTTTTTCAGGTTGTTGGGCGGACTTATACTTTCAAGCCGCTTATGCCTTTATTGAAATGAATGATCTAAAGAATGCTCAAGTGAAGTTAAAAAGTGCTTTAACGCTATCACCTTTTAATAGTGAGTATTTAAAAGAGGCAGGGTTTATTCAGCAAGCACAAAAACAGTGGCAAGCGTCATTGGAAAGTTTTAAAACTGCTGAACAGTATCTGTATTTGCTTGAGCCTGAAGAAAAAAGATTGGCGATTCAACAGAGTGTAAGACGTAGTTTAGGGGTGAGTTTGATTGAATTAAATCAACTGGATGAAGCTACTCAATATTTTAATAAAGTTTTAAAGGTTGATCCCTCAGACGCAAAAGCGCGTAATGAATTAAACTACATTGAGCAGTTAAAGAAAAAAGGTCATGTTGCTAAGCAGGCAATTGGTCGCGTCTAAATCGCGTTTTTTAAAATCATCTTTTAGGGTAGCAATTTTTAACTAACAAAAATTTATTTTGTGATAAATTACACATTATTGATTCTGGTTAAACGTGGTATTCAAGCATGAAATCTAAACTTCTCATCGCAATGACGACTTTGTCTATTTCATGCTTTAGTTTTGCTGAAACGCAGTCCACTTCGACCAATACCGCACTAAAACCTTTTAGTGGTGTACGCGTATCGATGCAACGTATGCTTAAGTCGAGTGAAGGTCGATACTTTATGAACCTTTATGCGGGGATTGCCCATCCGCACGGTGTGCTGACGGATTTAATGGATGGTACAACAACAGATTTTAAAGGGACACAAAAAGCTGATCAGTTGGATTTAAAGTCGATCACTGCTCAATCAGACCCTTCTGTAAATGGTAGTGATCAATTAACTGGCCTATTAAATGCAAATACAGGCGTGTTTAAAGCATCATTGTTAAAGAAACCAAATACAGCTTGGCAGTCGATACAGTTTGAGCCTGCTTTTAAAGTCAGTAATAAACCCGTTTTTATCTTTAAATTTTATGGTCAAGATGATGCCAATAGCCCTTATGGAAAAACCTTAAAACGTGTTGATGTGTTAAATAAAACCAACAATACAGTGGTACAGAGCTTGACAGGTTTTACTGGTTATCCAAACAGCATTGGCTATATGGATATCAATTTTGATGGTTATTATGATGTCATTGTGTCGGACTTGTCGCAAGGTCGTACAGTCGATGATAAGCGCTATATTTACTGGATGTACAATCCAAAAACACAACAATTTCAACGTTCTCCGCAGCTTGAAAAAATTGTTGGTTTCCCAAGTTTACATGGTGAAAAACAACAAATTGATTTTGGTAATGGACAGCTTTATCAAGTTCAGAATGGTTTGTTAAATCGTATTTTTGATGAAAATTGAAATGGTCAAAAAACTGTCATTAAATAATCATTAAAATGTCAAAAACTTAGCCTAATCTATTCAAAAATGAAGAGATTAGGTATCGTATGAATAAACCGTACGCGAACACCTTGCAATTTAAACAACAAGATTTTCCCGATAACTTTAAATTTTATTTTAATCCAAACAAGAAAAAAATCGATACGAATAAAGACCATCTTATTCGTGACTTATCCCGACCTCGACTGAAAATTGCAATCGTGACTGAAACATGGCCACCAGAAATCAATGGTGTTGCTTTGTCTTTGATGCAACTGTGTAAAGGCTTGCAAAATCAAGGTCATAAAATATTACTGATTCGCCCTGCACAGAAGACCCAATGTCAAGACTTTAGCCCGAATAAAGAGTGCTTGGTGACTGGGCAATCAATTCCGAAATATCCAGACATGAAGTTTGGCTGGCCCCAATTTCTAAAAGTCTCTCAAGCGATTACGGCATTTTTACCTGATGTGGTACATATCGTGACTGAAGGGCCTTTAGGCTTTACTGCGCTGCATGCGGCAAAGACACGACGAATTCCGGTATCAAGTGGTTTTCATTCACAATTCCAAGAATTTAGCCGTTTCTTTGATTTAGCATTCTTGGTCAAACCAATTCAAAGTTATTTGCGATGGTTCCATAACGCAACGCAACTGACCTGTGTGCCAAGCAGTGATACAGAGCAGGCATTACGTGAGTTTGGTGTGACCTGTCCATTGGTTGTGGTCGGGCGAGGAATTGATACAGAACGCTTTTCATCACAACGCTACTCCGAACAGTTGAGACAACAGTGGGGTGCAGATGAAGACACCACAGTCTTGATCTATGTTGGGCGTTTGTCTTCTGAAAAAGAAGTCAATGTGGTGATTGATGCCTATTCTGAACTGCGACAACAAGCACAACGAAAAGTAAAGTTAGTGCTGGTAGGGCATGGCCCAGATCGCGGTCGTTTAGAAAAAATGCCGGGTGCTGAACATGTGATTTTTATGGGCAGTCTAACTGGCACACAACTTGCTGAAGCCTATGCGAGTGCAAATGTTTTTGTTTTTGCAAGTCAGGTAGAAACCTTTGGGAATGTCGTTATCGAAGCGATGGCGAGTGGTTTACCGATTATTGCTTATGACTATGCCTGCGCTCAACTTCATGGCAGACATGCTCAGAATGGCTGGTTATGTCCAATTGGAGACATCAAGCAATTCACTCAACATGTATTAGATCTTCCAGATAACAGCACACTCAAACGTTTCGGGCAACAAGCGATGCATGATGTGCAAAGCATTGGATGGCAACATCCCGTACAACAATTCGAAGAAGCACTATACCAGGTAACGCACTATGCAAAACGACTGACCTAGTTCATCTCAAATAATGAGAGGAGAGTGGAAAATGAATTTTAAAAATACCAAAATAAAAATGCTCGATCTCGACCTTAGAGGTTGTTTATATCTCAATAATTTATCGCATACCCAAAGTATTGCGACGTTCTTTAAAACTGTGAGCCGTTTGGGAGATGGTCCTTTCTGGTGCGCAATGTTGGTTCTGATTTGGCTACAAAAGAGCTGGATCTATGGTCTGCAACTTCTCTATGTCGTTGTTATGGGTTTTTTAGGAACAGGAATTTATAAGTTCTTAAAACACAAAACAGTGAGACCACGACCTTATCAAGTTCATCAAGTCATTATTCTGGGTGAACGACCATTGGATCATTTTAGCTTTCCGTCAGGTCATACGTTACATGCGGTCATGGTCACTATTGTCTTTGGGTATATTCAACCAGTTATGTTGTTCATTATGATGCCTTTTACCATTCTTGTGGCGTTATCTCGGATGGTTTTGGGTCTGCATTATCCAAGCGATGTCATTGTTGGCGCACTGATTGGTGCAAGTGTCGCGAGTTTGATTGTGTTAAGCGCACCATATTTAGGAGTGATGTTATGATGGTTTACTTACTGCTGGTCTGTAATTTTATTTTTAAAGAATCTGATGATTTTGATCATCAAGGTTTTAACTTTGAATAATTGGCTCAATTCAATCCGTCTTGTAAATTAAACGCTTGAATCCGTGGTGAATCTTGTAAATGTCTAGAATGATTTATTTCTGAATGAATTGAGATTTGATACAGTAGCAGAATTAAATTGAGCAAAGGAAGACCTGATATGGGCTTACGTTGGACAGATACAATTGATATCGCAATTGAACTCAGTGAAGCGCATCCAGATGTGGATCCACAATGGGTGCGTTTTACCGATATGCATGCATGGATTTGTGCATTGCCAGAATTTAGTGATGATCCAACCAAATCGACTGAAGGTCTGCTAGAAGCCATTCAAATGGCATGGATTGATGAAGCGAATTAATGGCTTGAGATGTTGCTGAATGATGCTAAACGTCACAGCGCATCGAAAAATCCAAATTTTTTACAGATTAAAAGCAGAAAATTGTTCATTATTCGGTATAATGCGCCCAAATTTTCGTGTCAATTTGACTAAAGGAGCCACTCATGGCTATTGAACGTACTTTATCTATCGTAAAACCAGATGCAGTTGCTAAAAACCACATTGGTGACATCTTTGCTCGTTTCGAAAAAGCTGGTCTTAAAATCGTTGCGACTAAAATGAAACACCTTTCTAAAGCAGAAGCTGAAGGTTTCTATGCTGAGCATAAAGAACGTGGTTTCTTTGGTGACCTTGTTGCATTCATGACTTCTGGTCCAGTTGTAGTATCTGTTCTTGAAGGTGAAAACGCAGTTCTTGCTCACCGTGAAATTCTTGGTGCTACAAACCCTAAAGAAGCTGCTCCTGGTACAATCCGTGCAGATTTCGCTGTAAGCATTGATGAAAATGCTGCGCATGGTTCTGACTCAGTTGCATCTGCTGACCGTGAAGTAAATTACTTCTTCGCTCAAACTGAAGTTTGCCCACGTACTCGTTAATTCGACGTATCTAGGGTCTCTTTTTCTACACGAATAAATCTCCGATTTATGAATTGATAACAGACCCGAAACCAGATAGGTGATATACTACTTGTCTGGTTTTTTTATTTTTGTTGCTTTATTTGGCTAAATATTGGTCAATATGTTTTATTACTACGGCATGATTTAGGTAATCCCCATGAATTCTGAAGTTGTCGCTTCATCGTTAAATCTAGATGAACAGCAGCCTGCATCATCAAAATCTGCACAGGCTGATCGTATTCAGACTGCAAATGTGCAGAAAGTGAATTTACTTGGCATGTCACGTCCGCAATTGGAAAAATTCTTCGAAGAAATCGGCGAGAAAAAATTCCGTGCTGGGCAGGTAATGAAATGGATGCATCAATTTTTTATCACTGATTTTGCTGAAATGACCAATATTTCAGGAAAGTTGCGTGAAAAACTAGAAAGAATTTGTGAAATCAAAGCGCCAGAAGTGGTGCATCGTAACTATTCGAAAGATGGAACTCGTAAGTGGGTATTCCGTGTTGGCGATGGTGCGGGCTCTTTGGTTGAAACGGTATTGATTCCAGCAGAAGATAAAACAGGCTCACGTAAAACACTGTGTATTTCATCACAAGTGGGTTGTGCTTTAGATTGCTCATTCTGTTCAACAGGAAAGCAAGGTTTTCAGCGTGATTTAACCCCTGACGAGATCATTGGGCAGTTGTGGGTGGCCAACTATTCTTATATGGAAGAAGTACCTGTTGCTGAACGTGAGCGCTCGGTGACTAATGTGGTGATGATGGGAATGGGTGAGCCATTACTCAACTATGATGCTGTATTAAGCTCAATGAATATCATGTTAGATGATTTTGCTTATGGCATGTCTAAACGTCGCGTTACATTATCAACTTCAGGTGTCGTACCGAAAATTGACCAATTGGCACAAGATATAGATGTGGCTTTGGCGATTTCTTTACATGCGCCAAATGATGAGTTACGTAATGAATTGGTGCCGATTAATAAAAAATATCCATTAGCACAATTGATTGCTGCATGTCAGCGCTATATTGCCAAAGATGGTAATGAAAGCTCTCGTAAACATGTCACTATTGAATATGTGATGTTGGAAGGGGTGAATGATCATCCTGAACATGCACAACAAATGATTAAGTTACTGAAAAACTTACCAAGTAAAATTAATTTAATTCCATTTAATCCATTTCCGCATGCGCCGTATGGCCGTTCAAGTCGAAATCGTATTATTTCTTTCCAAAAAACTTTGTCTGATGCAGGTTTTGTGTGTACGATTCGTCAGACACGTGGTGATGATATTGATGCTGCGTGTGGGCAGTTGGTCGGGCAAGTGGCAGATCGTACCCGTCGTGCAGAGCAGTGGAAAAAGAAAGTTGCTGAACGTGGTGAGATTATTCGTTCATAAGCTTAAAGATTTGTAGACATACATTTATATCAACAAATAATCAGGGGCTGACTTTGAGAAAATCGATGTATCAAAAAGCAGTTGTAATATTGGCAATTGGTTTATCTGCATTGGTCGTACAGGGTTGTCAAACGACAAATTCAGACACAATAATAAAAAAAGATCCTGAAAAAGCCGTTAAAGTACGTACTCAGCTTGCTGCTGAATATATTCGTACAGGTGATTTAGATGCTGCAAAACGTGCACTAGACCAAGCTTTAGAAACTGATTCACGTGATTCTGCGGCAAATATGATGATGGGTGTCTTACTGCAACAAGAAGGCAGTAAGATCAGTATGGAAAAGGCAGACGGCTATTTTAAGCGTGCAATTTCCAGTGACTCAAAAAATGCACAAGCTCGTAATAATTATGGAACATATTTATTTGTTACTGAGCGCTATAATGACGCGATTGAACAATTGAGCATAGCTGGTGCTGCGCTTGGCTATGATCAGCGTTACAAGGCTTTAGAAAATTTAGGTCGGGTTTACTTAAAAGTGGGTGATGTGGCAAATGCTGAAAAAGCATTCAAACAAGCTTTACAAGTCAATCGCGATTCGATTATTTCTCTGGTAGAGTTATCAGAAATTTTCTATTTGCAACAAAAAAGTGCGCAAGCAAGTCAACTCTATGAGCAATATGTTCGTTTAGTAGGTCAGGACAAACAGGGTGCGAGAGCGCTTTGGATTGGTTTACGTATTGCACGTGCCAATAATGATCAGATGGGAATGCAAGTGTTGGTCAATCAACTGCGTGCATTGTTCCCGGACAGTAAAGAATATCAACGTTATCTGCAATTACAGTACAGTACTGAGGCCGTATGGAAGTAAATCCTAATTCACAGCAACCTACAGGTTCAAACGTAGCATCTAATGGCTTAGGAAATGTTCAACGTCCAGGTGAGTACTTGCGTCAAATTCGAGTCTCCAAAAACCTAGACATTCAAGATGTTGCAAACGAACTAAAAATGCCTGTAAAAACCTTACAAGCATTGGAACAAGATGAATATAAGTCTTTGCCAGAAGCAACCTTTATTAAAGGTTATTATCGTTCATATGCCAAGTTTTTAGGCGTTGATGCAACGGTAGTCATTCAACGCTTTGATGAAATTTATCAAAATGATACTGGGCTTTTGCCAAACCACGCCTTGAACAACTCTCCAATCAAGATTATGGGGAAATTGCCTGGATCAAACAGTGATCGTAATAAAAAATGGTTAAAGCGAATTTTAATTGCCATTGTTGCGCTTGCGGTGATTTGGGCTGTGATTGCTGGAATTCAAAAAATGACATCGGGTAAAAGCGCTGATGTCGATGCCAAACCACAAGCCTCAGAAGTAGAAGTGTTGAATTTAAACAATGCAACTGCGACTTCAGGTGACCAAATGGTATTGAATTTCAGTCATCCAACCTCTGTACATATTGTAGATAGTACAGGAAAAGTTTTGGCGACTGGTCGCCAGTCGGCTGCTTTAACCGTTAATGGCCAATCACCATTCCAAATTCGTCTCGATGATGCAACTGCTGTGTCATTAAGCCTTAATAATGAACAGATTTCATTGTCTCCATATACAGTGAACGGAAAAGCAGAATTCCGTTTGTCACGTTAATGGGCAAGAGTAGATAAGATCATGATTGAGAATCCAATCAAGCGCCGTCCTACACGTAAAATACGTGTGGGTTCAGTGTATGTCGGTGGTGATGCACCGATCAGTATTCAAAGTATGACCAATACTGAAACCTGTGATGTCGATGCAACAGTCGCGCAGATTCAACGCTGTGCAGATGTCGGTGCGGACATTATGCGGGTATCGGTACCGACTATGGAAGCTGCTGAAGCTTTTGGTGAAATTCGTAAACGTGTCACGGTACCATTGGTTGCAGATATTCATTTCGATTATAAAATCGCATTGAAAGTTGCAGACATGGGTGCAGACTGTTTGCGGATCAACCCCGGGAATATTGGTTCTGAAGCCAAGATTCGTGAAGTGGTTGCTGCTGCACGTCATCACGATATTTCTATGCGTATTGGTGTCAATGCTGGATCTTTAGAAAAAGATATCCAAAAGAAATATGGTGAGCCGACAGGTCAGGCATTACTTGAATCTGCAATGCGTCATATCGATATATTGGATCGTTTAAACTTTCACGAGTTTAAAATTTCAGTAAAAGCATCAAATGTATTTTTAACAATGGATGCTTATCGTTTATTATCTGCACAAATTGATAATCCATTACATTTAGGTGTAACGGAAGCTGGGATCTATCGTACGGGTTCTGTGAAATCTGCGATTGCTTTAGGTGGCTTGCTGTTGGATGGCATTGGTGACACCATGCGTATTTCATTGGCGGCTGAGCCTGAAGAAGAAGTAAAAATTGGTTTTGATATTTTAAAATCCCTGAGCCTTCGTTCAAATGGGATTAACTTTATTGCTTGTCCAAGCTGTTCACGTCAGGAATTTAACGTGATCAAAGTGATGCAGGCTTTAGAGGAGCGTTTAGAAGATATTCGTACACCAATGGATGTGTCTGTCATTGGTTGTAAAGTCAACGGTCCGGGTGAAGCAAAAGAAGCTGATATTGGTATAGTCGGTGCAAGTCCGCGCTCACTCGTGTATCGTAATGGTGAAAAGAGTCACTTAATAGATACAAATCAGTTGGTTGATGAAATCGAAAGCATGGTTCGTCAACGTGTTCAAGAGCTTGAAAAAGCTAAAGCTAAAGAGATTATTCGTAGTTCATCATGAGTTCAATTGTCGCAATTAAAGGTTTTAATGACTTTCTCCCATCGCAAACACCTGCGTGGAGACGTCTTGAGCAGCATTTAGCATCGCTTATGGATGCATACGGTTATCAGCAAATCCGTTTGCCGGTGGTTGAACATACCAATCTGTTTAAGCGTTCAATTGGTGATGCAACTGATATCGTTGAAAAAGAAATGTACACTTTTTTCGATAAGGGTAATCCGCCTGAATCTTTAACTTTGCGTCCGGAAGGCACAGCGGGTTGTGTACGTGCAATGTTGGAACATAACTTACTCCGTGGTGCAAATCCTCGTGTTTGGTATGTTGGACCAATGTTCCGCTATGAAAAACCACAAAAAGGTCGTTATCGCCAGTTTCACCAATTTGGTGTAGAAACTTTTGGTGTAGCGACACCTGATCAAGATGCTGAACTGATTCTCATGACTGCGCGTTTATGGAAACGCATGGGTGTTGCAGATAAAGTTCAACTTGAGCTAAATACCTTGGGCGAGTCTGATGAACGTGCAGAGTATCGTGCTGCATTGGTTGAATTTCTTACAGCGCATCACGCTGATTTGGATGAAGATTCGCAACGTCGTTTAACCACCAATCCATTGCGAATTTTAGATTCGAAAGATGCACGAACTCAGCAAATTCTTGAAAATGCACCTAAGTTGCATGATTTCTTAAAAGAAGACAGCTTGAATCATTTTGCTCAATTGCAACAGTATTTAACTGATGCAGGCATTGAGTTTGTCATCAATCAAAAACTAGTCCGTGGTTTAGACTATTACAACAAAACTGTTTTTGAATGGACAACGACACATTTAGGTTCTCAAGGAACGGTGTGTGCGGGTGGTCGTTATGATGGTTTGGTTGGACAGCTGAAAGGTAAGCCTGATCAATCTGTACCAGCAGTTGGTTTTGCCATGGGCATGGAACGTTTATTATTGCTTCTTGAACAAGTTGAAGACAATACACCTGTGCGTGAATGTGAGTTATTCTTGCTATCGGATCCTGCAACACAAGGTCAGGCTTTGGTATTGGCTGAACAAATTCGTGATCAACTTGAAGCTGTAAATAGTACAATTCGTTTGAAAACAGGTTCACAGGGTTCAATGAAGAGTCAAATGAAGAAGGCAGACCAATCGGGTGCCATCTATGCTTTGATCTTTGGTGAGCGTGAGGCTGTAGCGCAGCAAGTTTTAGTCAAAGAACTTGCGACAGCAGAACAATATGAAATTAAGGCCACTGAAATTGTGCCTTTTTTCATTGAAAAATTTTCGTCAAAATAAGCCGATAATCATAAGGAAAAGGGGAGTCAAATGAGTGCAATGACTGATGATGAGCAACTGGATAGTGTGAAGTCATTTTTTAAGAAATATGGCTCGGCTATGGTGACAGGTGTCCTCATTGCATTGATTGCCTTTTTCGGTTGGGAATATTGGCAAAAGAAAACTTTGGCTGAAAATCAAAATGAAACAGCCAAAGTCCAACAATTGATGGATGAAGCGCGAGCAGCTAATGGTGATGCTAAAGTCACTGCTGCCTTAGTCGCGTCAGCAGATAAAATTGTCAAAGACAATCCAGATTCTGTTCATGCAATTCAAGCACAAATTGTCATGGCAAAAGTTGCCTATGATAAAAATGACTATGCATTGGCTGAGCGTGAACTGAAAAAAGTTGAAAATTCTAAAATTAAAGACGCTGGTTTGTTACAAGTTGTAAAAATCAAACTTGCCGATGCACAATTGGCGCAAAAGAAGTTTGATGAAGCCTTGAAAACCTTGTCAGCTGTGAATGATCCTGCTTTTCAGGCAAGTGCTGATGAGTTAAAAGGTGATATTTATGTGGCAAAAAATGACACTGAAAATGCAAAAAAATCGTATCAAGCAGCATGGAATGCGGTCGTTGAGCGTAAACAAGAACGTCAAATTTTACAAATTAAACTCGAAAGTGTTGGCGTATTAGTAGAAGATCCTGATCTTGAACGCCCAATCTTAGTAACACAAGTGGATGAGTCTTAATGGATAGAAATTTTAAAATACCTTTTGCTTTAGCAATCTTATCAATCGCTTTAATCGGCTGTTCAAGTAATAAGACGAAAGAAGTGAAGATTAAGCCAAATCCACTGCCTAAAGTTGCACAAGCTTCGAGCTTGGTTCAAGTATTTTCGACCAGTGTCTCTTCGACCAGCAGTGAAGATGCATTACGTCTACGTTTAGATACAGACAATGGTGTTGTGTTTGCTTTAGATCCAAAAGGCGAAGTGGCTGCCTATAAAGGCAAACAGCGCTTATGGAATGCTAAAGTTACCAAAGATGGCTTAAGTTCTGGTGTTGAAGCAGCAGATGGTGTGGTGATTGTTGGTAATCAAAAAGGGCATGTTTTTGCATTAGACCAAGCGACGGGTGCGACCAAATGGTCTGCGCAATTGTCAGGTGCAATTATCAGTTCTGCTTTGATTCAATCTGGTCGCGTGATTGTGGTTGCAAATGACGGTACGGTTTATGCCTTAGATGTTGCGACAGGTCAGCAAGCGTGGACTTATAAGTTACCAAGCGCTTCATTTAGCTTAAGAGGTCAAGCCACTCCAGTTAGTCTAGATCCACGTACCGTGCTTATCGGCACTTCTACTGGCTATATTTTTGCAATAGATAGCCTTGCAGGTGTACCGCGTTTGCAACGTCGTGTTGCGGTATCTGAAGGTCGTTCTGATATTCAGCGCTTGATTGATGTGGACAGTGAGCCTGTCGTTTCAGGACAATATGTGGTTACGACGAGTTTCCAAGGGCAAGTGACTGTTCTAGATTTGGCTTCACAACGCGTTTTGTGGAGTGAAAATTCAAGCAGTATCAACCGTCCAGAAGTGACCGATGGTAAAGTCATCGTATCGCAAACTGATGGTCAAATTATTGCGTATGACTTGATTACAGGTCAGCAGCTTTGGAAAAATGAGCAACTGCTCAATCGTAACTTAAGCAACCCTGTATTGCTCGGTTCAAATCTTGTTGTGGGTGATTTAGATGGTTATTTACATCAAATTGATCCAAATACAGGAACAACGTTAGGTCGTGCTAAAACCAGTGGTGAAGTACGTACTTTGAGAGTGATTGATAATCAAGTTTATGTTTCGACACGCAAAGGTGCAATGAGTATCTGGCAAAGTCGTTAACAGTTAATCAACAGACACGATTAGGATTCTCTATTTTTTTAGTCTTGTGTTAAAATAGAGCAATCCGTATGAATTCCATACACGGGGTGATTGAAAATCAATACCCCGTGTTTTTATTTTAGGTTTTTCCTATTCTTCTTCCTATACATTTCTGATGTTCAGACCAGTCATACTGGCTGATCTTGAATAAAGGTTATTTTATGAAACCCGTAATTGCGCTCATTGGTCGTCCAAACGTCGGCAAATCAACGTTATTCAACCAGATTACCAAGAGCCGTGATGCACTCGTTGCTGATTTTGCTGGTCTTACCCGAGATCGTAAATATGGTGATGCAACTTATGAAAATAAATCTTTCATTGTCGTTGATACTGGGGGTATCGGTGAAAATGAAGGTGGTATCGACTCATATATGGCAGAGCAATCAAAAACTGCGATTAATGAAGCCGATATCATTGTTTTTGTTGTCGATGCACGTGCTGGTCTATTGGCTTCTGATGAGCAGATTGCCCGTGAGTTGCGTACACTTGGTAAAAAGGTTTACTTGGTTGCCAACAAAGTCGATGGTGTACATGCTGAAGCTGCATTAGTTGAATTTTATAAACTTGGTATGGGTGAACCCTTACAAGTTGCGGCGAGTCATGGTCGTGGTGTTCAACAAATGCTTGAGGATATCTTGGTGGATGTCCCTGAAGATGAAAACCCAGAAGAACACGATAAGGCAACAGGTTTACGCTTAGCAATTATTGGTCGCCCAAATGTCGGTAAATCTACTTTGGTTAACCGTTTGTTAGGTGAAGATCGCGTTGTTGCATTTGACCAACCGGGTACAACCCGTGACTCGATTTATATTCCGTTTGAGCGTGATGGTCGTCAATATACCTTGATCGACACTGCTGGTGTACGTCGTAAAGGTAAAGTTGATGAAATGATTGAGAAATTCTCAATCGTTAAAACGCTACAAGCGATTAAAGATGCACATGTCATCGTGGTAGTTTTAGATGCACGTGAAGGTGTGGTTGAACAAGATCTACATTTGATCGGTTATGCACTTGAAGCTGGTCGTGCCATGGTGATTGCCATTAACAAATGGGACAACATGACAGAGTATGATCGCAAACAATGTAAATTGGATGTTGATCGTCGTTTTGACTTCATTCCTTGGGCAAAAGTACATTTGATTTCTGCTTTGCATGGAACAGGTGTCGGTGAGATGTATCCAACCATTCACCGTGCTTATGATTCATCACACTTAAAAGTTTCACCTGCAAAATTAACTCAGATTTTGAATGATGCAACTGAAGCACATCAACCGCCAATGATCAGTGGTAAACGTATTAAAATGCGTTATGCCCACATGGGTGGACAAAACCCACCAACGATTGTGATTCATGGTAATAAGGTGGATAAGACACCTGCGGACTACCGTCGTTATTTAGAAAATGTCTTCCGTAAAGTGTATAACCTTGAAGGTACACCAGTTCGCGTTGACTTTAAAACTGCTGAAAATCCATTTGAAGGCCGTAAATCTCAAATTGATGAGCGTGTTGCAGCACGTCGTCGTCGTTATGTACAGAAATTTAAAAAGGCTGAAAAGAAATTTAGAAGCTAAATTTAGCGTTGAACACATCAAAACCCAAAGTGATCTTTGGGTTTTTTTGATTTAAGATAATGAAAAATGTTTGGGAATGGATTGTGAATCGTATTATTCAATTGGATGTTAATTCTATTCAAAATATTCTTCCGACTTACCATTCGAGCGATCGAAAGGGGCAGATCCAAGAACTGAAACAGGCGATCTATCAATATAGAAACCAATTGTTGTCCGATATTTTTTCAGTTGAAATCAGTAACCACTCGTTTGAAAAAACAGATTTTGGTAAACCCTATTTAATTGATTATCCAAAGTTTCACGTGAATCATTCACATAGCCAGCAACATTATGCTTTGGCGAGTAGCCAGCAGATACAAGATTTGGGTGTGGATGTTGAGGATTTAGATCGAAAAGTTCGCTTTGAAGCTTTAGCAAAACATGCTTTTCATCCCCAAGAATATCAAGCTTGGCAAGCGTTAGACTTTGATCCTACTTTTTGGTTTAAGGTGTGGACCACCAAAGAGGCGATTTTAAAAGCATCAGGCCTAGGGATTCGTTTGAGTCTAAATGAGCTAAATACTGGAGTGCATGTGGTGAATGATGGTGGGATCTCTACGCATCCGTTATTGGGCAGCTTTGCCTACCAAAATCTCCAGCTGAGCCGAGTCATGCTGACGGTGGCATGGCGTTCTGAATTATCCTGTAAGGGCTTTGCATTTCCACAGATTCAAATCATTCAACATGGTTGATTAAAGACCGTATAGACGTTTTCATTCTGCATAACACATAAATTGCAACAACGTTATTCCATATTAGAGTGTGGCATCTATACGTCTAAGTGTTGAAATTTTCAACCTTAAGCCACATGTATTGCAAATCGGCATTGTTTAATAAAACCAGTTAAATGTAAGCTGCTTATCTTTAAATAAAAATAAATAGTACTCGATCACGATCAACAATCTTGCTCGTCGCGTGTACTTTGTAAGCTATATTTTTTACATAAAAATTAGTTTATTTCTCCATGAAATTCTCTATACTTGATAAATTAAATGATAATTAAGTAGCGAAAATACTAATTATTGTGAATTTAAAGCGATGAAAAAGCGATAGGTTAGGATTAATTATATAGTGCGATTTAAATACTTCATCAGCTTAATTTGCATCATATTTTTTTATCCAAATTTTAGTTTTGCTTCAAGTTTAGAAAGTGATCTTGCTGCTTTTAATCTCATTACCAACTACGAGCTTTTATTCTTTGGTGGAATATTTGTCATTCTGATGCAAGCTGGCTTTGCTGTAGTTGAAGGCGGATATGAAAACACCTATAAGTCAATTTCCGCATTATTGGTCAATTATGTTTCAGCAGTTTTAGGAACGCTTATTTTTGGTTTCTTCTGCGCAAAAATTCTCCTTGCAGGCGATGCCAGCTCCGAAAAATATATGAATGGCATGCTGCATGGTTGGCATTGGAATTTATTATTTTTTTATACCCTAATGGCCACCACAATAACCACTGTGGTTGGGCGAGTGATTCCGAGTAAAGTTCCCTTATTTGTCAACTGGATAACCGGTTTAATGATCGCAGGTGTGATCTTTCCTTTCTTTAGTAGCTGGACTTGGGGAAATATCTTATTCGGTAAGGGCTGGTTAAAAGAGTTAGGATTTATTGATTTTGCGGGTTCAACAGTGGTGCATTCCACCGCAGCATGGATTGTGTTGGCGGGCTACTTAACTTTAAAACCTCAAGACCGACAAGAAATCTTAAAAAAAGACTTAATCTTTGAAGATTATAAAATCTTATCTTTGGCATTGGCTGGCTTTATTCTTTGGCTGGCATGGTCAGGTCTAAATGTAGTTTATATCTCAGCACTCTATGCGGATATTGGAGTCATTGTCATCAATGCCTTTGCTGCACTCTTTGGGGCAATGATTGCCCCCTTGATTTTTTCCTTGGTACTCAACAATAAAATTATTTCATGGGTTGAAATGATTAAAGGTGCTTTGGGTGGCTTGGTGGCGATCACGGCAAGTTGTGGTTTAGTGAATTTGTCATCGGCATTGATTATTGGCTTAGTTTCTGGATTATTCACAATCTATTTACCCCGTTTATTGACCTATTGGATTGATTCTAAGCATATTCGTGAAGTTGTTGTGGTACATGGTATTTGTGGAGCATGGGGCACACTGGCTGTTTCTTTGACAGATAACCCCGTGATTAATTTAGCCAACAAGGCCAGTGTTATCGATCAAAGTATTGGGATTGCGGTAAATTTTGTGTGGAGTTTTGGCGTTGCATTCTTAGTATTTAAACTGATTTGTAAACTGCGTAATGCATACTCAATTAAGTCGTTAAAAAATTGAGTACTTAAAAGCTTTGAAAAAAGCCAAGCACTAAAAAAAGCGACATAAAGTCGCTTTTTTCATATTTAAGTTCTGTATTAAAAGTTAGGCAACACTTTCAGGTGTCGCACGCCATAAACTTTCCAGATCATAAAATTTACGTGCTGTTGGTAGCATCACATGTACGACTACAAATCCTAAATCGATAAGGATCCATTCAGCGTCTCGTTCACCTTCAACACCAATTGGGCGAAAGCCTGCTTTACGTGCTTCTTCAGCAACATTGTCAGCAAGTGCTTTAACATGGCGTGTTGATGTCCCGCTCGCGATGACAATTGCATCTGAAACGTTGCTAATAGCGCTGACATCAAGTTGAATAATATCTTTGGCTTTTACATCAAGTAGAGCTTCTTGTACGACTTTTAAACAAGTCTGTACGTCTTGATTTTGAGTGTTCATTGCAAGTTCGTGAGAATTAGAAGCGCTGGGCGATGGTTCTAAATTCATATAAGGTATATTTTCCAGAAAATATCTCATCTTCTAATATAGCGCTTTTGTCTAAAAAATACAAATTATACAATGCAACCGTTTGCCTAAGCATACACTCATTTAATAGCTATGGTTGTTGGAAAAATATTTTTCTTTCCATGCAAATGACTGATTTGAATGTGATTGTGGCTTGTATTCTGCTGCAATAAAGCCCGTATAGGCGCTTTGTTTTAACCAGGAAAAAATTGCAGAATAATCAATTTGTGCGGTATCTGGTTCATGACGTCCTGGGCAGTCAGCAAATTGGATATGCCCAATCCAATCAATATTTTCTTGTAAGGCTGCCAGTACATCTTCGCCCATCATCGCCATGTGGTAACAGTCAAATTGCATTTTTAATGCAGGATGCTGTACTGCTTCTAACATTTCTTGGCCTTGTGCAATATTTTGAACCAAGAAACGTGGCATGTCTGTACCATTGATCATTTCAAATACAGGCTGAATATCACGATTAGAGAGCAGATGACAAGCCAGTTTTAAATTGTTTGCCAAGGTGTTTAAACAGGGGAGTAAATCGGCATCTTGTGGTTGTTTACCTGCCAAAATATTGACGTTTGGAACATTGAGCGCTTCTGCATATTCAATTGCAAGTTCCAATGCTTGATGAAATGCCAGTTCTTGACCAGGCACACCAGCAAGTCCGTTTCCACCTTGCATCAAGTCACCGGCGGGAACGTTGATCAGGCAAAGGCTGAGGTCATATTGTTCAAGTTGCGCTTGAATCTCTTCAATGCTTAATTCATACGGAAATTGAATTTCGACATTGTGGAAGCCATGAAGATGTGCCAAAGCAAAGCGTTCAATGAGCGGCACTTCAGTAAAAATCAAGGATAGGTTTACTGCGAGTTTAGTCATAAGAACGCTCCTTGCTATATTTGGACTCTCATCTTCAATGTAGTAGGCAATAGATTATTTTTCAACTTATTTATGTGTAGTTCCGTGTATTTTAACCCGATTTATTTTCTACTTGATGAATGACTGTGGCTAAATCCGACTCAGCAAATCCGTTGTTTTGATGGCTTTGTAATTGCCCAAGTGCATGTTGAGCCACAGGAATTTCTAAATCAAATTTTTGTGCAAGTTGAATGGCATTATTTAAGTCTTTAGAAAGCGTTTGTACCTTCCATTGTACTGGTTCAAAAGTATGTGTTGCCATGCGTGGGGCTAAAATTTGGAAAGGTTTTGAGTCGGCAAAACCACCAGCCAAAGCTGGTGCCAATAGGGTTGTATCTACACCTGCTTTACTGGCAAGTGCAACAGCTTCCGCGATCAAGGTGCTATTGGCAGCAACGATAAGTTGGTTGCAGATTTTAGTGGCTTGTCCAGTACCTGTTTCACCCATACGGGTGACACGTTGAGAGAGGATATTGTAAACAAGGCTTAGTGCTTGAATCACCTCAGCATTGCCCCCAGCAAAAATGACCAGCGTGCCATTTTCGGCGCCTGCAGTTCCCCCTGAAACAGGTGAGTCAATCCAAATCACCTGTTTTGTTGTTGCGCTTTCAGCCAGCTGCTTGGTTTTATCCACAGATAAACTGGAGAAATCCACAATCACTTGCTTGGCTTGTAAATAGGGCTCAATGTGCTCATAGACTAGCTGTACAGCTTTATCATCAGCAAGGCAGCTGAGAATAATCGGATATTTTGCAATATTCTCAAGCTGTAATGGGTGAGCGCCTAGATCAATAAGGGCGTCACAAGCAGATGCTGTTCTGTTCCAGACAGCGACATGCAAGCCTGCTTGGATTAATCGGGTTGCCATACGGCTACCCATTAATCCCATCCCTAAAAATGCAATTTTACTGTTACGATCAAAATTCATTTTATAACTCAAAAAGCTTTCAATAATAATTTTGGATTATTTGTATTGGCGCGGTAAAAATTTTAATTCAGGATTTTTATCCTTTTTACGTGCAATTTGACTATTTTTACCCAAGAGTAATTTTAACTGCCAAATCTTCTCTAAACGTAAAGATTTCTGGGGTTGATGTTCCATAGCATCTAAAACACGCTTAGCCGCCATCAGCGCATCTGGCGAGCGTTGCAGCATCTCTTCTGCAATGGCTTGAGCTTTTGCCAACGGTGAGTCGTCTACATGCGTCACCAAACCAATGTCTTTGGCATAATTGCCATCAAAAATACGTGCAGTGAGGGTAAGCTCTTTGGCTAAATCAATACCAATCACGCCCTTGATTGAACGGGTTAAGCCCATGTCAGGCACAAGCCCCCAACGGCTTTCCATGATTGACATTTTAGTCTCTGGGTGTGCAATACGAATATCTGCAGCCAATGCAAGTTGCATCCCTGCACCAAAGCAGAAACCTTCAATTGCTGCAATGACAGGGACAGGCAGTTCTTGCCAGATCAAAAATGCTTTTTGGAATAGGCTTTGACCAGGTTTAATCAGTTCCCAAGCAGCAAAGGCTGTATTTTTTGGACTATTTAAGTCAGCAAGGTCAATACCTGCACTAAATACATTGGCTTCACCCGTTAGAATCACCACACGAATACTGCGGTCTTTTTTAATCTGTTGTGCGACGCTTACCAGTTCACGGAGTAAAGCAAAACTCATGGCATTGCGTTTATCTGGACGATTTAATGAAACTGTTGCGATACCATTGTTTTTTTCTATATGTAGTAGTGCCATGATCTTGACTCATTTTTTCCTTGGTCATCAGCATAGCATGTGAATTGAATAGTTACATGACAGTAGAGTCACCGAAACTGTGTTGATGTGCCAATTGGGTAGTAAAGCCAAAACAGGATTGCAATAGTGACTTGTATCATTTTATTGGATCTTTAAAAAGATGATTGCAATAAAAAGATTGTTCTAATTCATGCTGTTTTAAAGAAGCAATAAAAACCATACGCAGGATAAAACTCAGAGTTTTATCCTTAGGATTTCAAAACAGCTTAAAACGCGATAAGAAAAGGGTTTATAGCGCTGAATCGGCTAGAACTGCGCTGTATTTATGAAGCGGGTAAAATCTGCTGTGCAGCTGTTTCAACTTCATGAATCGCCAATTGAAGCTCATCAAAGCGTTTCATCACGTCTTGGATAAAGGCTTCATCTGCTTTACGGCGCTCTTTGCGTAGCATGGAAATAAATTGTTCAAAATCACCCGTAATGCGTTGCAATTTTGGTGTGCCGACATAACGGGTAGCACCATATAAGCGATGTAAGACATGTTCTAATTGCGGGAAGTCCTCAAGCTCAATGAGTTGCTCAATTTCAGCCAACTCCGTTGGGAAGCTGTCGACTAGCATTTTTAACAAATCTTGTGCGAGATCTTCTTTATTGGCCGCTAAGGCAAGGCTTTGTTTCCAATCTAGAATATAAGAGTCCAGCGCTTCGATATATACTGTATTTTCGATAGGCTGTTGATGTTGAATAAATTTATCGCTTGTCCAATTGGTGAGAATTTGAATAATTTGTTCAATCTGGATCGGCTTGGTTACATAGTCATCCATACCCACTTTGAGTAGTTTTTGTTTTTCATCAGCCAATGCGTGAGCTGTCAATGCAATAATCGGCATTCGCATACCATCTAAGGTGGATTCCAGCGAACGAATTGCCCGTGTGGTATCTATCCCAGACATGACTGGCATTTGGATATCCATAAAGATAAGATCAAATGGTTTTGCGCCTTGTTCAACCCCTTGTTGAATAATGGTTAAGGCTTCTTGACCACTGAGAGCTTTGGTGGTTTTTACATTTAGCTCGCCTAATAGCGCTTCTAGTACGATCAAATTCGGTAAATGATCATCTACTGCTAAAACATGTAAATCTTGCCCTTTAAAGTCTTTATGATGTTCTTGTTCAAAAACAGGCTGATTACTTAATAGTTGAATCACTGAACTACGGCTCAGTGGTTGATACAATGGACGCGCTTTATATTCAGTCAACATATTTGGATCAAGTGACATTTGATAGCCATATACCGCCAAATGACCTTGATAACGACCACGAATTTCTTTAAGTAAGGCTTCGGTATCTCCACTGTGATCAACGATCAACCAGGTATTTTCAGTATTTTTTTCTAGGCTATTTAGGCGGCTAAACAGATCTAAAATCGATTGCGCTTCAGTGTGCTGGACTTGATAGTCTTCTAAGTAATGTCGTAATACATTGGCAGTTGCAGGGTGTGCCAAGAAAGACACTACATTTAAGTTTTTAAATGATGGATGAACAATTTCTTCATCTTCATTTACCGTTAACATGGCAGTAAACCAGAAGGTTGAACCTTTTTCTGTTGGTGCACGTTCTTGGTTATCTTCAAAGCCAATTTGACCATGCATCAAATGTACAAGTTGCTTAGAAATGGCTAAACCGAGTCCTGTACCACCGAATTGGCGAGTGACAGAAGCATCACCTTGAGAGAATGATTCAAATAGTCGTTTACGATCGGTACCACTTAAACCAATACCACTGTCTTGTACACTAAAGTGCAGCAAACATTGCCCGATATCATCATGTTCCATCCGCGCACGAACAATAATTTCACCATCAGGGGTGAATTTAATCGCATTGGAAATAAGATTGGTCAGCACCTGTTTAAAGCGTAAGGCATCACCAATGACATGTTTAGGCACATTGTCTGCGAAATAGAATGCCATCTCGATATGTTTTTGCGCTGCCAATGGCGAGAGCATATCCATCACATCGAAAATTGCTTCTTCAAGATCAAAAGGTGCAGTTTCGAGTTCTAATTTACCTGCATCAATTTTCGAGAAATCGAGTACATCATTAATCAATGCCAATAAATGTGCAGAAGACTTACGGATGGTCTGTAAATATAAACTTTGATCATTGCTTAAATTGTCTTGGCGCAACATCAAATGAATAAAGCCATCAATACTATTTAATGGGGTACGTAATTCATGACTGATATTGGCAAGGAAGACCGACTTCGCCTGATTGGATGAAATCGCCTGATCACGGGCTTGTTTATAGGTAATGTTCTGGACTTCTAAGGTGTCTAATGTACGACGTAAGTCATCTTCTGTTTGTTCAGTATGTTCTTTTAGCTCAAGGAAGCTGAAATGTAGCCGTTTCACTACATTGGCAATATCACGCTGTAATAAGCGCAGTTCCCCAGTACTGTTGATCACCATATGTTGATCAAGCGTATCTGCATTTAAGCGTTGCAATTGCATCCGAATTTCGTACATCGGTGCAATCCAGCGTCTTGAATAGAAGTTTAGACACAATAGAAGCAACAATAGCGTTAATAAGGCAGTCGTAATCAACACGATCATGACACGATAATGTGAAATTTCTAAAGGTTGATTATCAAGTTCAATCACCAACCACATATTTTCAGCAGATTTGCTGGGATTAAGTTTAATCCCATAAATATTGTTGTACTTATTTTGAATTGGCCCAAAGAAAGTGCCTGATTTTGGAATTTTTGGCCAAGCACGTTGATTTTGGTAGCCTACACTTAAATGATTAGCGTTATTTTCATCTAAAATCGCTGCACTAAGTAAATGCTTTTCGTTAAACATTTTTTGTAAAATGCTTTCAGCTTTGGCGTGTTGAATTGGATCCTGTTCCATGACTGCGGTGAGTTGCTCAGCAGTATATTGGTAACGGCTCAATATCGCGATGGCTTGGAAGCGCTGTTTAGACTTGGCAGCAGCTGATGTTTCAGAAAGAACCAGTGCTGCTCCAACACATGCCAAAATCATAATTGGCACGAAAATTAACGCAATAAGTTGACCATAAGCGTGATTGAGTTTTAAGCGTTTAAAGAGTTTTTTATTGAAATTCGACATTGTTCCAGCAACTCATTGCCCATGGCAAAGATATTAACATGCTTTAATCATCCTGCATGACAATATGACTAAAAATCTTGTGAATTGAAAATGAGTTATGCTGTTTTATAGATAACTTTATCATTTCTAATTCTAAGTAAAGTTTATTTTTTTATATGTATTTAATTTTATTCAATAAAGAAAATCATGCTCCTACTTGGGTGTGTTGATATATATGAATTTAGTTTGATCATTCCAAGCAAAATGAAGCGGAAAGATGTGCAGTATGTTTCTTTTTTTCATACAATATGCCCACCTCGATATAGGTGCAACCGATGAGTCACACACAACCTGATTTCTTAGCCGACGAATTTTTGTTAGATCACTATGTAGGAAAAACTCCTTTGGTGCGTTTACAACGTTTGGCAAGTCATACTCAAGCAACAGTATTGGCAAAGCTAGAAGGCAATAATCCTGCTGGTTCTGTTAAAGATCGTCCTGCATATAACATGATCATGAAAGCTGAACAGCGTGGTCAAATTAAGCCGGGTGATACGTTGATCGAGGCGACGAGTGGAAATACTGGGATTGCGTTGGCAATGGTCGCCGCAATGCGTGGTTATAAAATGAAATTGATCATGCCAGGGAACTCTAGCCAAGAGCGTAAAGATGCAATGCGTGCCTATGGCGCTGAATTGATCGAAGCAACCAATATGGAGGTTGCGCGTGATATGGCTTTGCAAATGCAAAGTGAAGGCCAAGGTTTAGTATTAAATCAGTTTGGCAATCCAGACAATGTAGAAGCACACTACCTGACCACAGGTCCTGAAATTTGGCAACAAACCGCAGGGAAAATCACCCATTTCGTGAGCTCTATGGGCACAACGGGCACGATCATGGGGATCTCTAAATATTTAAAAGAACAAAATCCAGATATTCAAATTATCGGATTACAACCTTCAGAAGGTTCAAATATTGCGGGTATTCGTCGTTGGCCTCAAGAATACTTACCGACTATTTTTGATCCAAGCCGTGTCGATCAGATCATGGATATTCCGCAAATTGAAGCAGAAAAAACCGCACGCCGTTTAGCACGTCAAGAAGGCATTAGTGCTGGGACTTCTTCAGGTGGTGCTGTATGGGCATCGGTTAAAATTGCTGAAGAAAATCCAGACGCAGTGATTGTCTGTATTGTCTGTGACAGAGGTGATCGTTATCTTTCTACAGGTTTGTTCTCTGTTGAGGATGAAGAATAGTTGCTTCGAAGTCATAAATTGCTTCATGATGGCAAACTTGAGTATTGAGTAAAGCTTTTATGCGTCTTCCAGTTTTAGTTTTTGATATCGAAACCCTGACCGATCTTAAGTCTGGGGCGCATTTATATGGCTTGGATTTACCACAGGACGATTTAGAACAGGCGTTGGCAAAACTACGCCGTCAAGAATCGGGGATGGATTTTCAGCGCTTGGCTTTACATGAAATTGTTTGTATTTCGGGATTGTGGATTGATGAAAATGGTGTGATGAAACTGTTTTCATTTAGTCGAGAGCACTATACTGAAACTGAAATTTTACAAAAATTTTTATCTATCTTTGATAAAAGACATCCAACACTCGTGAGCTGGAATGGCTCACAGTTTGATTTGCCTGTGATTTTATTCCGCGCCATGTATCATGGACTATCTGCGCCAAGTTTGTTCGATCAAGGTGAGATTGACACACAAAAAAGGTATAATAACTATCAGAACAGATACCACAACCGTCATGTTGACTTAATGGATGTCATGGCGATGTTTAATGGACGTCATTTCCAGAAATTGGATGATGTTGCACATTTATTGGGTTATCCCGGTAAACGTGGTATTTCAGGTTATTTTGTTCCCGAATATGTGAATACACAGCAATGGTTGAAACTCACCAGCTATTGCGAAGGTGATGTTTTAAATACATGGTTGATTTTCTTAAGATGGGCTTTGCTTAAAGGTCAGATTTCTTTACAAGATCACCGTTTATGGATTCAAGCCTCGATTCATTATTTGCAAGGACAAGCTCAACAACATGAGTTTTTAAATGTTTGGCGTGAAACCTCACAGCGAACTGAATTTACTCAAGCAGATTTTTCCTCCACACCCGATTAGGTATCCCTTTGAAACATAGAGCCAAACCTCGACCATCTCAGCTTCCACAATATATTTTTAAAGTTGAAAGATTGTCACACGAAGGGCGAGGGATTGCGCATTATGGTACAGAACTCAATCATCCAAGTGAAAAGCAGGGTAAAAAAGTTTTTATTCGCTATGCACTGCCTGGTGAAATCGTAAAAGCTCAAGTGACGCGTCAAGTATCCAAACTTGAAGAAGCGGACAGTATTGAATTACTCAGTGAGCCAAATCCACATCGTATTCAACCGATCTGCCCACATTTTGGTACTTGCGGTGGATGCAATATGCAACATATTCATCCAGATGAGCAAATTCGCTTAAAACAAGATGTTTTAAAGTCACATCTCAGCCACTTTGCGGGTTTAGTGCCTGAACAGTGGTTAGCGCCATTGCGTTCAACACGTACCGACTATCGACATAAAGCCCGAATAGGGGTGCGTTATTTAGCTAAACAAAATAAATTACTGATGGGTTTTCGTGAAGCACAGAGCAACCACTTAACTGCAATTGAAACCTGTAAAATTTTAGATATTGAATTAGATCAGGCTTTACCTGAAATCAAGGCATTACTCGAAAGTCTAAAAGGCAAAAGCAGCATTGGTCATATAGAATTAGCCAAAGGCGATAGCGAAATTTCATTATTGGTTCGCCATACTGAAAAATTAAAAGCCCATGATGTCAACCTATTGCAACAATATGCGTTACAGAAACAGTGGCAGTTGTATTTGCAACCTGCGGGTGTGGAAAGTGTACAACGTCTAGATGGTGCTCAGGCAGACATGCATTTGCATTACCGTTTAAAAGATTTTGATATTGAGTTTGCGTTTAATCCAACAGATTTTACCCAAGTGAATCCCACTGTAAATCCGCAGATGGTTAATCTGGCATGTGATTTGCTTGAGTTGAAAGCAGGTGAAACTGTTTTGGATTTATTTTGTGGATTGGGGAATTTTTCTCTGCCGCTCGCTAAACGTGTGGGTGCTACAGGAAAAGTCATTGCTGTTGAAGGTAGCGAAGCCATGGTGAAGCGTGGTACAGAAAATGCACTGAACAATCGCATAAGCAATGTTAAATTCTATTCACAAGATTTAACAAAAGACTTTTCGCATTATTCTTGGGCAAATCAAGGATTTGATGCATTATTGATTGACCCTCCTCGTGCGGGTGCAGAACAAGTTATGCATTATTTGCCCAAATTTGGTGCGCAAAGAATCGTTTATGTGTCGTGTAATCCCGCAACATTTGCGAGAGATGCTGGAATTTTGGTACAACATGGTTATCAGCTCACTAAAGCAGGTGTGATGGACATGTTTACGCACACAGGGCATGTAGAATCGATTGCTTTGTTTGAAAAGAAATTAGAGATAAACGATTTATAATGAAATATAGAGTTAGAGGAGTAGGGTATGGTCACAGTACGTGAGCAACTTCCTGATCAGCTCAATGAGCTATCAGAGGAAGCGACTGTAGAACATGCCGATGAAGCGCAACAGGCTCTAGCAACTTGGCTAGATCGAGTGCGTGGAATTTTAGACGGTGCTGAACTTAAGCAGTTAGAAGAAGTCGCGCAATTAGTATTACAAAAAGAATTGGCGACCACAGTAAATTCCAGAACCAATACCTTTGCAACAGGCATTGGAATGGCCGATATTCTCGCGCATTTACATGTCGATGAAGATACGCTGGCAGCAGCTGTGCTTTATCGTAGTGTGCGTGAAGATCTCACGACTTTAGAGGAAATACAGCAACAATGCGGTGAGCAGGTTTACAACCTTGTCAAAGGCACTTTGGCGATGGGTAAACTTTCTGAACTGATTGAAAAGAATAAACGTTTAGAAGATCACTTTAATAATAATCAGCGTGAACACCTGACGGGCATCTACAAGATGTTGATTTCTGTGACAGAAGATGTTCGTGTGGTATTGATTAAACTGGCTGAACGTACCTTTGCTTTACGTGAATTGGCGCATTCTTCAAAAGAGCGTCAAGAGCGTGTTGCACGAGAAATTCTCACCATCTATTCGCCTTTGGCGCATCGTTTAGGCATTGCCCAATTAAAGTGGGAGCTCGAAGATCTTGCTTTCCGTTATTTGGCACCAGAACGTTATAAAGAGATTGCTTCTTTACTCAATGAAAAGCGTCTAGAGCGTGAGCAATATATCCAGTTTGTGGTGGATAAACTCAAGAATGAGCTGGCAGGGCATGATATTGAAGCTGAGATTTCAGGTCGGGTAAAACATATTTATTCGATCTACCGCAAAATGAAGAGTAAAAATCTGAGTTTTGATCAGCTTTATGATATTCGTGCATTACGGGTTTTGGTTAAATCTGTCGCAGAGTGTTATCACGCTTTAGGCATTGTGCATCAAATTTGGCGTCATATTCCTCATCAGTTTGATGATTATATTACTAACCCCAAAGCCAATGGTTATCGCTCTTTACATACTGCGGTGATTGCAGAAAATAAATCTTTGGAAATCCAGATCCGAACCAAAGAAATGCATGAAGAAGCAGAGTTGGGCGTGTGTTCACACTTCAATTATAAAGAAGGCTCGAAAACCACTGACTATTCATTTAATCATCGTTTGCATTCTTTACGTGCAGTGCTTGAGCATTATCAAGAACGTACCGAAACCAGTGCACATCCCAATGAAGATGAAACCGAAGATTTTGAACAAATTCAAGACTTTGAAGGTTTTGAGAAAATCTATGTGTTTAGTCGTGATGGGGATATTAAAGAATTACCACGCGGATCGACGGTGCTTGATTTTGCTTATCATGTGCATACCGAGGTCGGCAATAAGTGCTATGCATCACGGGTCAACCAACGCTATGTGCCGTTAACCTATACCTTAAAAACAGGCGAACAGGTTGAGATTTTAACCAAGAAAGATCGAGAACCCAATCGTGATTGGTTGGTTAACTCTTTGGGTTATATTAAAACAGCACGTGCGCGTGACAAGTTGCGCCACTGGTTTAGACAACAAGATCGCAGTAAAAATTTGGAAGTTGGGCGTGAGTTGCTCAATAAAGAACTTTCACGTTTAGCGATTCACCCGAAAAGTATTGATTTAAGTGATTATTGTAATCATTTCAATGTGAAAACTGGGGATGACATTCTTGTGTCATTGGTGAGTGGGGAAATTAGCCTGCATGCCTTGATCAATCAAGTCAATCGCCACATGCACTTAGATCAAGATGAACCAGAGCTGGTTTTAAAACCAACATTAAATCCACGCGCAAGTCATACCTTGTCGGCGCATGGAATTTTAATTGATGGTTTGGACAATGTTGAATTACATATTGCACAATGTTGTCAGCCTGTTCATGGTGAGTCAATTGCTGGATATATCACATTGAATCGTGGTGTCAGTATTCACAAGGTTGCATGCCCAGATTATATGCGCATGATCAAGTTAGAACCTGATCGTGCGGTTGAAGCGGATTGGGAAATGCAACCGACACGTGGGCAAAGTGTGCAAATTGTGGTGGAAGCGTATGATCGCCGTGGTTTGTTAAAAGATTTGACCCAAGTGATTTTTTCAGATCAGATCAATATCCGTCAGGTGAATACGATTTCTGAAGCAGATGGTATTGCTAATATGAAATTGTTGATTGAAGTGAAAGGCTTGGCGCAATTGTCTCGCCTCTTGGCGAGATTGGAACAACAGCCTGGCATTATCAGTGCTCGACGTTTGGTTCAAGGTAATTAAGCTATATTGTCTTGATCAGATTTTATGATTTGAACAGTAAAAAACTCGCGAAATGCGAGTTTTTTATTATCTAATATAATGGATTGTTTTATGAGTTTGATTTATAAAAAGAAAATTGGTATCTATTGGGTTGGTTTTTACAGTATTAAAGCTTAGGTTTTAGATTTTCTCGTGAGTATTAAATTGCTCAAGCGATTGATAAATTGAGGGCTAATAGCAGAAAGTGTAAACATTACTTTGGTTTTTAAACCGACTGGGCGATGTGTAGCGGTGAAAAGTGAGCCTTTGGCTTTAACCTGTGCAAACACTTGCTCCGCAACATCTTGGGGCGTGAGACTGACCCCAATATTTTGAATCGCACCTGCATCCATGTCTGTCACCATCGCTGTTTGGACAAAAAGCGGCATCACATCCAGTACGCGAATACCATATTTTTGCCATTCGATATCTAATCCTTCTGTAATACCGCGTACGGCAAATTTACTGGCAGAATAGGAGACTAAATCTGCTTGTCCATAAATGGCTGATGCTGAGGAAAGATTGATGATACGCGCAAATTTTGCTTGTTTCAGATAGGGAAGAGCGGCATGACAGCCATTTAAAACGCCATTGACATTGATATTGATTGTACGATGATGGGCACTAATCTCAGTTTTTTCAAAATCTCCAGAATACAGAATCCCAGCATTATTGACTAAAATGTTGAGACCATTTGCCCATTGAGAAAATTCTTTAAGCGCGGTTTGCCATTGCGCATAATCGCTCACATCTAATTTGCCCGCTTTGGCATTGTCACCCAATTGATCTGCTAAAATTTGAGCCTGCGCTTCATTGATATCATAAATACCAACTTGATAACCTTGTTGATAGAATAGACGTGCAATCGCAGCCCCAATCCCTTGCGCAGCACCACTAATGAATATGCTTTGACTCATTGCAGCATCCTTTTTAGTTTATTTTGATTGCAAAGAGTTGAACATAAAATATGCATAACAACAAGTGTTGTGCAGTCATTTGTTATTGATCTTAAAGGACATAAAATGCAACAGCTATTCGCCATCATGAAACAATTACGTGCAGAATGCCCTTGGGATCGTGAACAGACACCTGAAAGTTTAACGCGCTATGCGATTGAAGAAGCATATGAAGTGGAAGAAGCAGTACGTTCTGGTGATATAGATGAAATTAAAAATGAATTAGGTGATTTATTGCTACAAGTGGTTTTTCAATCACAGATGTACAGTGAGCAGGGGGCTTTTGATTTTAACGATGTTGTCGATGTACTTTGTCAAAAATTGATCCGACGCCATCCACATGTTTTCCAAAAACAACAATTTGATAATTTAACCCCTGAACAAGTGTCGGTGTTGTGGCAGGAAATTAAACAACAAGAAAAACAGGGCAAAACTCAATCTCGATTAGATGCGGTAAAACATGGTCCCGCTTTATCTCAGGCAGAAAACATTCAAAAAAATGTCGCAAAAGTAGGCTTTGATTTTCCTGATGTGGCGCAGGCCTACGATAAAGTCAAAGAAGAATTGGCAGAGTTTGAAGAGGCGCTGCAATCGGAAAAACCTGATGAAATTATGGAAGAATTTGGTGATTGTTTATTTTCTTTAATCAATGTAGGGCGTAAACTAGGCATTTCAAGTGAGATGGCGCTGTTAGGAACCATTTATAAATTTAAATCTCGCTTTGCTTATATTGAAGATCAAATCAATTTTAAAAATAAAAGATTAGAAGATGCGTCTTTAGAAGAAATGGATCTCCTTTGGGATCAGGCAAAGCAACAATTAAAATCAAAGGTTAGCAATGAGTAATCAGTATTTTTATTTTAATCGTGTAGTAAAACTAATTAAATTATCTTTTTTATTGGTGCTTTTGAGTTGCTCCTTGAGCTTGTATGCACAACAGTTTGATCAAGCTTATCTCAACTGGAAAGCACAACAACAGGCCCATGATGCACAATTAAAAAAAGTCGATGATCAATACTATCTTTCGCGACCGAATAGCAAAACATCACCATCGAATAGCAATCACAAAGGCCCATCATCACCTACTCAATCTTTAAACAGCTCAGCTTCAAAAGTCAGTTTAAACTCTGCAAGTGTCGAGCAATTACAACAGCTCACGGGTGTGGGAGCAAAGAAAGCACAGGCGATTATTGCTTATCGCAATCAGAATGGCGGATTTAAAAGTATTGATGACTTAAAAAAAGTGAAGGGGATTGGCGAGAAACTTTTCGAGCAGAATAGGGCACGACTGAGTTTATAATGGGTTTAAGAGCCTGTAGATCGACGAATTATCAATAGTCCATAAATTCAAGTGAAGTTTGCGAGAATCAAATTGCCCTTTAGCTGTGTAAGCGATATCATTAGCACAATTATGATTTTTACGTCCTGACGTAGGAGACAGTGTCTTTTGCAAACTTTGCGTGCGTCAAAGTGTGGGTTATCCACCGCTCAATTACCTTCCTCCATTTTAGATGTTATTGATTCTTTAACTAAAGCTGGCTATGAAGCTTATATAGTCGGTGGTGGTGTACGTGATTTAATGCTTGGCTTAAATCCGAAAGATTACGATGCTGTGACCAATGCAACACCTTCACAGGTGAAAGAGGTATTTGGTCGTCGTTGCCGAATTATTGGGCGACGTTTTGAATTGGCACATGTGTATTCAGGTCGTGAATTGATTGAGGTGGCGACATTCCGTGCCCCACCGAAAAAAGCCATTACCTCTGCACAAGGGATGATTTTACGTGACAACAATTGGGGAACAATAGAGCAAGATTTTGCTCGACGTGATTTTTCGATTAATGCCATGTATTACCAACCTCGAAAAGGGGAAGTGCTCGATTTTTGTAATGCTATTGATGATATAAAAACCAAAACTTTAAGACTATTGGGTGATCCAGCACTTCGTTTTGAAGAAGATCCAGTACGGATGTTGCGTACATTACGTTTTGCTGCGAAGTTAAATTTTAGTATAGATCCTAAAATATTAGACGTTTTTACCCAAGAAATGACACAATTGCTGCGTGATGTTTCTCCGCATCGTTTATATGATGAGTCGCAAAAATTATTCACCATGGGGCATTTGCATCGTGTGATGCCGATGTTGATTGAATTTGGTATTTGGAAGCAATTATTTGCTGATATTAGCCCTGAGATTACCCAATTTATAGAGCGCGCAGCGAAAAATACCGATCAACGGATTCAAATGGGTAAAACCATTAATCCTGCATTTTTCTATGCGGTATTGCTTTGGAATAATTTCTTAGCGCGTTGTGATTTCTACCATGCTAAAGGTGTAGTTGCTGCAGAAGCACGAGCTCAAGCAGGCTTAGATGTGTTAAAACGTCAAGCGACACGAACCATTATTCCTCGTTTTGCCGAAACCTTTATTCGTGAAGTCTGGGAAATGCAAAGTCGTTTGCTCAACCCGAAACCACAACAGATTGAAGCGCTTTCGGGTCATGCACGTTTCCGTGCAGGATTTGATTTCTTGCTGTTGAGAGAGAAGTCAGGTGATGCTTCTACCAATGGCATGGGTGCATGGTGGGAAGCTTACCAAGACATGTCGACTGATGAGAAAGAACGTGCAATTGGCAGTTATAATCGTCAGCGTGCCAAGAGTCGTAAGAAACTTGCTGAAGTTGCCCCTGTTGAAGATGTAAAAGCAACAGCTTCCACGCAAATTGAACCATTGGTGAAAGAACAAGAATCTCGTAGCCGTCGTTCACGGGCTAAACCAAACTCAACATCATCTCAAGATTTTAGAAGTAGAAGTGATGCTCGAACGGCAGTAAATAAAGGCGAGATTACAGCGGATCATCCAATCACCAAGCGTAGACGCGTACAACGTGATTTAAGCAGTGTGATTTTTGGACCGACCCAATCATGATTAAAACCTATATTGGTTTAGGCAGTAATTTAGGTGATTCTGAGCAAATTCTACGGGAAGCTGTAGAAAAACTCAGAAACTTAGGTGTTGTTACTGTTTCAAAGCTGTATCAAAGCCCACCGATGGGGCCTCAAGATCAGCCAAATTATCACAATGCAGTTGCAGAATTACACACTGATTTAGCGCCTTTGGCCTTGCTGGATGAGTTGCAACGTATTGAAAATGAATCGGGTCGAGTACGTTTACGCCGTTGGGGTGAGCGTACTTTAGATTTAGATCTTTTGCTTTATGCTGAAAAAAACATTATAAATGAGCGGCTCACAGTACCGCATATTGGTATTTTAGAGCGTGATTTTGTGGTGATTCCATTGTTGGATCTCGATCCTGAGCTTCAAGTCAATGGACAATCATTGCAAAAGTTAGATTTCGTGCAACATTCAACCCTTAGTGTTTTAGCAGATCAGTCATGGGCTGATTAAAGGATTGAATGGGCAGAGGAACTCTCATTGATAGAGGAATATCGTCATGATTAGCCTAAGTGATTTAAGACAATTCAAAACTCAGGGACGTAAATTTTCATGCTTAACTTGCTATGATGCAAGTATGGCAAAAGGTATGGAAGTTGCTGAGATTGACACCATTTTGATTGGTGACTCTTTAGGGATGACAATCCAAGGGCATGATTCTACCTTGCCTGTGACTGTTGCAGATATGGCCTATCATACTGCTGCTGTACGTCGTGCAAATCAACATGCGTTTGTCCTGTGTGATTTACCCTTTATGAGTTATGCCACGCTCAATGATGCGTTGCTCAATTCAAAAACCGTGATGCAAGCGGGCGCTCAAATGGTGAAAATTGAGGGCGGTGAGTGGCTGGCTGAAACTGTAGGAGTTTTGACACGGAATGGTATTCCTGTTTGTGTACATTTGGGTTTAACACCACAATCGGTGCATGTTTTTGGTGGTTATAAATTACAAGCGAAAACACGTGAATCAGCAGATCAACTGATTGCGGACTGTAAAGCTGTAGTCGAGGCAGGTGCCGCTGTGTTATTGCTCGAATGTGTTCCGGCACAGATGGGTAAAGAAATTGCTGAATTGTTCCCACAGATTCCTGTGATTGGCATTGGTGCTGGTGCAGATACCGATGGTCAAGTACTTGTGGTGCAAGATATGCTTGGTTTGACATTTGGTAAAGTGGCACGTTTTGTACGTAATTTTATGAAAGAACAAGCAGGGGAAACTGCAATCGTGGATGCATTTAAGGCATATCATGTTGCTGTACAAGAGCAATCATTCCCTGCCAAAGAACATACTTTCCAAGTAGAGCTGTAAACATGAAGACAGAAACGACCATTCAAGGATTAACAGCATCACTTCAGCCTGCTCGATCGGCACGTAAAATCATTGGTTTTGTACCGACGATGGGAAATCTACATCAAGGTCACTTAAATCTGGTTCGTGAAGCTCGTAAATTATGTGATGTGGTGGTGGTCAGTATTTTCGTGAATCCAATCCAATTTGGACCGAATGAAGATTTTGATAATTATCCTCGTACACTTGAGCAAGACAGTAATTTACTTGCTGAAGTGGGTTGCGACATTGTTTTTGCACCTTCTGTGGAACAAATGTATGGTAAATTCCCACGCTTAACCAATATTAGTGTGGGCGAAATTACTAATGATTTGTGCGGATTACAACGTCCAGGTCATTTTGATGGTGTTGCTGTTGTTGTCACCAAATTGTTTAATATTGTGCAGCCGAACTTTGCATTTTTTGGACAGAAAGATTATCAACAATTGGCTGTGATTAAGCAGGTTGTTCGTGATTTGAATATGCCAATTGAAGTGATTGGTGTGCCAATTGCACGTGCTGAAGATGGTTTGGCCTTAAGTTCTCGTAATGGTTACTTATCTGAACAAGATCGTCAAACAGCTCCTGTTATTTTTAAGAGCTTAACGACTGCTGAACAAGATTTACATGCAGGTAAAACACTTGCAGATGTCTTGGCGCAAATTCGTGAAAGTTTAAATGATGCAGGGTTGCTTGTGGATTATGTCGAAGCACGTAGCCCAGCGTTGCAAAAAGTTGAACAATTCGACCAAGATGTTGTATTGTTTGTTGCAGCGAAATTAGGCAAGACTCGTCTGATTGACAATTTACAAGTAAAACATTTTACATAAACTTTGCTTTTAGGATCGCCATGCCATGAAGCGCATACTTATCGTAACAGGACAGTCTGGTTCAGGTAAATCATCTGCTTTGCAGGTGCTTGAAGATTTGGGTTATTACTGTATCGATAATTTGCCTTTGGCATTGCTTCCTGAAATCGTTGAAAAGCTGGATAGAGAAAACAATTTAGAGTTATTGGCACTCGGTGTCGATGTTCGAAGTGCCAAAGAAGATTTACAAGGTTTTGATCAGGTTTTTCAACAGTTACAGAAACATGGCAGTGTAGACGTTATTTATTTAACGACTCGTGATCAGGAGTTGATTTCACGTTTTAGTGCATCGCGACGTCCACATCCTTTATCAAACCGCTTCCAAAGTTTGAATGAATGTATTCAAGAAGAAAAAAATTTATTGCTCCCAATTCAACTGCGAGCAACAGTACATATCGATACAACGGATAAAAGTGTACACGATTTAAAAGATACCTTATTGTCCAAACTGGGACAGTCCGATAAACTCATTTTAATTTTGCAATCTTTTGGTTATAAACATGGTATTCCATTAGATGCAGATTTTGTTTTTGATGTAAGGCATTTGCCGAATCCACATTGGGATTTAGAGTTACGTAAATATTCGGGTTTAGATGAACCAGTACGTAAATTTTTAGAAGCCAGCGAGCAAGCAAATGAGATGTATCAAGACATCTATCAGTTTTTAAATAAGTGGTTGCCTGCTTTTTCGGAAGGTCATCGTCACTATATTACAGTGTCAATTGGCTGTACGGGGGGGCAACATCGTTCGGTTTATATTGTGGATAGGTTGAAAAAGGCTCTTGAGTCGAAATGGACTATTCAGGTATTACATAGAGAAATGAAGCACTGGTCATGATTGACACAACTGTTGACGTAATTAATAAATTAGGATTACATGCGCGTGCATCTGGAAAACTAATCGAAGTCACGACTAAATTTAAATGCTCTATTCAAATTGGTAAGGGTGACAAGTTAGTCGATGCCAAGAATATCCTTTCTTTACTTATGCTCGGAGCTGGTAAAGGAACCACCTTGCGTCTAGTGATTGATGGTGCAGATGAAGAAAAAGCTTTGTCTGAAGTTCAAGCACTGTTCGCAGATAAATTTTACGAGGCAGAATAATCGTGGCACGTCGTCCGCAACGTTTTACTGAAGATGATTTTGAGTCTTTAGAAGGGCGTGCAAGTAAAACCGAACAGAAAAAAGCTGTACAACGTATGGCTGCTTTAGGTGAACAACTCGCAGAGTTGTCGAAGAAACAAATTGAATCTTTACCTGTTGAAGATCGGTTGATTGAGGCTTTGCTTGATGTGCAATTGATCACATCTTTTGAAGCACGTCGCCGTCAATTTCAACGGATTGGTAAGCTTTTGCGTAATGAAGATGAAGCCATCATTTTGTCTTATTTAACCCCTAAACAAGGGATTAAAAAGTTGGCGCAATTGGATCGTTGGGTTGATCGAATGATTGAACAGCGTGATCCTGCAATTAAAGAATTCTGTAAATCTTACAATGCTGCAGAAAGTCATTCTTTACGTCAGCATGTATTGCGTATTCATCGGGATATCACCCGCCAAGCCACTGCTGAAGAATTAGCGGCTTCTAAACTTAAGTTATTAAATTATGCCCAACAAGTGGCTTTGATTTCGGATAATTCCAAGTAAACTATCGTGACAAATAAAAAACGACCCTTTTGGGTCGTTTTTTATATTTAGCCGAGATAGATTAAACTTTTGATGGCATCATGGGCATGTTTTCGCCTGCTTTAAATTCTGGCTGGAATTTAACAACGCATTTACCATCGATGATTTTGTCATTCATTTTTACTTGAATTGCCTTACCATCAGTTTGGCCTGCACATGATTTTTGAATCGCATCCCACTGTGCTTTACGTTCTGCACGTTTTTGTGCAAATTCTTGCTTAATTTGAGCACGTTGCTCTTCGGTCATGTCTTTCATACGTGGTCCTTCATGATGCATCATACGGCCACGTTGTTCTCCATCACGACGGTAATCCTGTTTCATTTCTTTCATCGCCTTGTGATCAGGCTTGAATACGATATTACATGTACCATTAATATTTTGCTGACCTGCTGTCACCTGAACCGTTTGACCAATTGCTTTGCCATCACAGGCTTTTTGCATTTGTTGGCGTAACGCTTTATGTTGAGCACGTTTCTGTTTCATTTCTTCGCGTTGTTCTGGTGACATTTTATGATGTCCACCATGCATCATTGGACGGCCATCTGGACCTTCTTTAGGACCAGGATTGGATTGACAGGCCGTCAAAGCCCCTACAGTTAAAATACTTGCTGATACCAGTGCGATTTTTGTCATTGCTTTCATTGTTACTACTCCAATGAATATTTTGATGTTCTGTTGATACAGTAAAGATTAAATAATAATGATGTAGAAACAATGGAGAGAATTTTGAGCAACTGTTGGGTACAATGTTGAAATGAGAAGAAAAACGTGAGACCAGTTTTGAAAATACGTCGAGTTCCCATTGCATTACGCTTATTTCTGACCGTTTTATTGACAACTTTAGTCATTACAACAGTGAGCTTGGGTGTTTTACATTGGACCATGCAAAAGAACTTTGCCAGATATGTTGCAGATGTTGAAATGCAGAAACTTGATCATCTGATCGAAAACTTGGCAGATGTATATGGAGTCTATCAAGACTGGGGTAACGCGGTTCAAGCACAGATTTTGCAAATTGAAGGTGATGCTGCGCCTGATGATTATGATAAATTATCACGCTGGTGGCTACGTCGCCAGTATGATATCGCTTTACAGCAACGCTACTTTAAAGAACATACGATGGTGGCGACTTTGGGACAAACGGACGGTGCCGTTCATAAGTCTCAACTGGATAAAGAAGAACTGAAAATTCTCGAAGAAAATTTACCCTCAGCTTATCAACCCTTTGAAGGTTTGAAATTTCCGCTTAGTTCAAATCAAAACTTATATAGACCCTCAGATCGTAAAGGAAATAAACCGCCTATAGGCAAAGACAAGGGGCATCTTTCAGCGGGACAGGAAGCATCAGCTTCTGTAGCGAAAGAAGCGCCAACGCGAGATCCGATGCGAACGGTAAATCCGCAGAATGGCAAAAAGATATTTGTGTCATTGCCTGACCGTTTGGGGCTGAGTTCACGACTTTCTTTATATGATGCAAAACAACAGTTTATTTTAGGTGAACCGTCAGATGATCAGGTGTCTTATCGTCCGATTTTAGTCAATGACGAAGTGGTCGGTTACTTGGGTTTAAAACCAGTTTTAGATCAGGATGATGCGCTGAGTATTAACTTCTTTAGTAATCAAAAGCGTTATTTAGTGCTGATTTATATCTTCACCTTCTTATCCAGCTTGGTTGCCGCATTGTTATTGGCGACTTATTTTAAAACACCGATTCAACGTTTATTGAACGCAACTCGCGAATTAACCAAAGGTAACTACCAGCATCAAGTGGTGATTAACCGCAATGATGAATTGGGAGATTTGTCGACAGAGTTAAATCAACTGGCTGTCATCCTTGACCAGCATGAAACATCACGCCGTCAGTGGGTTGCTGATACTTCACATGAATTAAAAACGCCATTAGCAGTATTACAAGCACAGATTGAAGCCATGCAAGATGGGATTCGCAAGCCGACACCTGAACATTTTGAAGCGATGTTACGTCAGGTTACGAGCTTGAAAAAGTTGACACAGGATTTAGCCGATTTGGCGCAAGCTGAAGCACAACAATTAAAATGCTACTTTGCAGAAATTGATCCTTGGTCGGTGGTCTTACAAGAAATAGAGAATTTTAAACCTAAATTTGAACAGGCTGATTTAACAATTTCAGCCACAGGTGAGGGGGCAAAATTACAATTAGATATAGATCGCTTTAAGCAAATTATGGTCAACTTACTTGGAAATAGTATTCGCTATACTGAGGCAGGTGGTGAAGTCCAAGTGCATACAGAGCAAGATGCAGATTCTTGGAGTGTGATCGTTGATGATAGCCCATTGGGTTTGAGTGATGAACAGATTGTACACTTGGGCGAACGTTTCTATCGTGTGGATAATTCACGTACACGTAGTACAGGCGGTACAGGATTGGGATTGGCTTTATCAGGTAAAATTGCACAAACACTCGGTGGTCAGCTTACTTTTGATCATTCGCCATTAGGCGGTTTGCGTTGCAAACTGACATTTTCAAAACATACTAAAGTTTAAAAGGAATAGTACAACATGAAGCATATCATGCTGGTAGAGGATGAAGTTGAACTTGCGCAATTGGTGCGGGATTATCTAGAAGCAGCGGGCTTTGAAGTCAGTATGTTTCATGATGGTCAAGAAGCTTATGACAGCTTCCTGCAACGCAAGCCAAGTTTAATGGTGTTGGATTTGATGGTTCCGCGTATGGATGGTTTGACCATTTGCCGTAAAGTGCGTGAGCAAACCGACTTACCGATTATCATGGTGACTGCACGAACTGAAGAAATCGATCGTGTCTTGGGTTTAAATATGGGAGCAGATGACTATGTCTGTAAACCTTTTAGCCCAAAAGAGTTGGTGGCACGTGTACAAGCGGTATTACGCCGTTTAGAACGTAAAGCTGAACCTGAAGCCAATGACTTATTTCGTATTGATAAAGCACAACAACGTATCTGGTATCAACAAAAATCGTTGAATTTAACGCCAACTGAATTCCGTCTTTTAGAGCTTTTCCTCGAACATTTGGGACAAGTCTATTCTAGAGCGCAACTTTTAGACCATATTAACCCAGATAGTTTTGATGTTGCTGACCGTGTTATTGATAGTCATATCAAGAACTTACGTCGTAAAATATCTGAAGCAGCGGAAACCGGAAATCGTCATGAATGGGTACAAGCTGTTTATGGCGTAGGCTACCGTTTTGAATATCCAGAAGATTAAGTTTTCGACATTTTAAGTTCATCGTTGTGGATAAACACAGGTTTATCCACAGATATTGTGGGTAAATGTTTATAAATGTAAAAAGTTATGTTTGAAAAATAAACATATAACTTTATGTTTATTGATACATTCTGATTTTGACTGAATCGTGTATAGATAGAGATTAGGTCTGTTGATCTAATGTGCGATCCAAAGCCCGCTAATTATTTAATGTGTTGATAAACCGCCAATACCTGCTTTTGGGCTTTGGTCAGGCTCTTGGCCACAAGTTCATAAGAGCCTTCAACCAAGTCTTGAATCAGATCAGCACTGATCTGTTCGCCTTCATAGATTGAAATCCAATGACGTTTATTCATATGATAGCCCACCTGAATCGAGGGGTAGAGATCTCTCAACATTTCTCCATGATCAGGTTCAACTTTTAAATTAATCAGTTTTTTGCCATGCAGTTCAGAGCCTAACATAAACATTTTTCCCATCACTTTAAAAACAGGAACATCCTCACCAAAAGGATAGTCAAGTTCGGATTTAGGCAAATGTGACGCAATCTTAAATGCTAAAGTTCGGATTTCTTCACCAGTCATCACTGTCTCTTTTTAAAATATTATTTATGAATAAATGCTAATCACTGTTCCATCATCGACCAGTTTCCAAATTTCATCCATATCTATATTTCTAACGGCAATACACCCCCATGTCCAGTCATTTCTAGGTAAGTAGGTCATTAAACTCGGGAGTTTTTCCACTTGTGAGCGTGTTGCTGAACCATGAATCATAATGTCGCCACCAGGAGAAACGCCAAGTTGGTTGGCTTTAGATTTATCCTGTTGGTTTGGATAGGACACATGCAGCGATTTATAAAATGCACTATTGGGATTACACCAATCTAGAATATAACGACCTTCAGGGGTTTTTCCATCACCTTCTTTAACTTTATGTCCAATAGGATCAAAGCCTAAGCGCATTGGATATGTTCGTATGTCTTGATCATGATGCATGAGTTTAACAATACGATCCGATTTATAAACTTTAACTTCGGTGATTGGCGTGTTTTGACGAAGACGTTGAATCTCTTGCTCAGATAAATTCTGCACATGTATGGCAGCATTTGCGGTTGGAATAAATTGATTATATTTTTGATAAGTCCAGACACTTGCTATAGCTATAGCCAAAAGAATCAAGCATGGAATGAGGTATTTTTTATTCATTTTAGAATACTAATGTTGTAAAACCCTGTATTGCCTAAATTTTATTCATTCTAAAGACAAAAGCTGTAGTTAATTTGTGATTGTGGATTTATCCTGTGGATAAACACAAGTTTATCCACAGAAATTGTGGGTAACTATGATGGGGCAGATCAAAGAAAGTGATTCGGCAATTTATTTGATCAAGAAGAACAACTCACCATCACTTCAGGAACGTCGCTCGGTAAAGGCGCTAAATCTTTGGCTGTTTCTAAATCCGTTTGTTTGGTAAAGGGCTGACCAAGCAATTTAAATAGGCGATCAACCTCAGAAAAATCATCACGTTCAGCCTGTTCAATGGCTGTTTGTAGCATATGATTTCTTAAAATATAGACTGGATTGGCCTTTTTCATTTCCGCATCAAGTACATCAACATCTTGCTGCTCACGAATATTGTGATATTGCGTCAAGAAGTTTTCAAATTGAAAGCGATCTAGGCAATCATCTTTAATAGCTTCATATTCTTTATTCTGTAAGCGAAGAAAACTGTCGGTATAGTCGAGTTGCTCACTTTGTAGAATTCTTAAAAATGCCATACCACAATCAAAACTATCTTTGTGGAAGCTGGGTAGTCCAAGTTTTTGGCATAGCCCATGGGTATAATGTTCTAGAAAGGTCGGTTCAAAATGCTCTAAACATTTGACGAGGTCTTGCTTAAATTGTTCTTTATTTTCTGCTTGTGCCAGTGGAATTAAATTGTTTAACCAATTCCATAAGTTCCAATGTGCAATACTCGGTTGGTTTTGGTAGGTATAACGACCATTGTAATCACTATGATTGTTGATCCAATTGGGACGGAAACGCTCCATAAAACCATAAGGGCCAAAATCGAGGGTAGAACCTGTAATATTGAGATTATCTGTATTCATAACCCCATGTGCAAAACCAACCAATTGCCATTTTGCGATCATGACAGCGGTGTTTTGAATCACTTGCGTTGCAAATGCTAGAACAGTGTCTTCAAACTTTTGCTGTTCAGTACTCAAACATTGTGGATAGTGCCATTCAATACATTTTTGGGTAAATTCAGTGAGTAATTCAGGCTGATATTGATTAATCCATTCAAAATGCCCTAAACGGATGTGGCAATCCGAAGTGCGTAACATCATTGCACCAAGTTCAAGTTTTTCTCGTTGTACGCCTTGGGTTGAAGAAGTAAAGCCTACAGAATTGCTTGAAGGAACCCCCAGTGCATTGAGTGCATGACCCGCTAGATATTCACGAATCACAGAACGTAATACAGCACGTCCGTCTCCCATACGAGAGTAGGGGGTTGAGCCTGCACCTTTTAAATGTAGGTCAATGGTTTGACCTTGTCGATTTAAAATTTGCGCTATCAATAGGCCACGTCCATCCCCCAATTGACCTGCCCATTGTCCAAATTGATGCCCTGCATAAACCATGGCAAGGGGATGAAATTCAGCAAAGGTTTTTTGTCCGCTACAAATCTCGACCCATTGGGCTTTTTCATCTTCAGACCATTGTAATTCATCCGCAAGCGCAGCATTAAAATGCCCAGCCTTTGCACCTTTCAGTGGACTAGGCATTTGCTCATGGTAGAGCTTTGAATCGAGAGATGGATAACGTGGGGCAAATTGCATAGCGATCGGTCACAATGGTTTTACTTGTCCCTCTCAATATAGCAAAGTTTTAAGCTGTTGAGATAATGTCGACTGTTTTAGTCAACAATAAATAGTTTTGCACCAAATGCGGTAGAAGAACGATGCGCTTCAGCTTGGTCTGCAACTTGATAACTCATCCCTGCTTTTAAGGTAAAGGTACGTCCATCATCAAGTTCAGTGTGCAATTCACCTTCTAAGCAAAACAGGATATGACCTTTAAGACACCAGTGATCAGCCAAATAATCGACAGAATATTCGACCATTCGCACTCGAATATTATCAAATTGTTGTGTGCGCCAAAGTGCAAAGCCTTGCTCACCCTCATGGCGCGTTGTTGGAACTTCTGCCCAGTTGGTAATGCCAAAGGGGATGTTATTAATTTGCATATTATTTTCTCTCAATATTCTCAGTATGAGTTTCTGTAAAAAATGGATAAAAGAAAAGCCCCTTTCGGAGCTTTGCTTTTGATGTGTATTGAGAATTTAAGAAACAACGTTCTTTTTGATTCCACGCATCAATGTTTCTAAACGTTCACGATGGAAAGCAAGTTTCTGTTCGACCAATTGGAAATCAACTTTGAGTTTGACATCCATTTGGTGGATTTTTTCAGCAACAGATGCTTTTTTCGCTTGTAGCTCTTGTTCTTTTAACGCAGCCCAATCATTTAACGTATTGGTGAATGCTTCATATTCTTGCGATACTTTTTGTTTCATCGCGATGATGTCTGCATTGACGTTATGACCATAAATCGCTAAATCCTGTTCAGCATATTTAAATCTCATCGCCAATTCCGCTTTTTTGATATTAAAGCTTGGGATACGACGTAGATTCTTGGCTAAACCGATTTTAGAGCACGACCAAATCAACCATTTTGTTGGATCATATTGCCACCATTTCACACCATTACGATAATCGTATTGGAAAATATGGTGATAGTTATGATAACCCTCGCCCCATGTTGCAATGGCAAGAACAAAGTTATCACGTGCAGTATTTTCGTCAGTATAAGGACGTTTGCCCCACATATGGCAGAGTGAGTTGATAAAGAATGTTACATGGTGGCTAATGATTAAGCGGAGTAAACCACCTAAGAGTAATACGCCCCACATGTCACCTACAGCCCAACCCAGTGGAACTAAAATCGCAGCATGTACAGCAATCACAAGTGGAACATAATACTTGTCTTGGAACATAACCACTTTGTCATTCAACAAATCAGGTGCATTTTTATAATTTGATTCAGCAGCAGGATAATTACGTAACATCCAGCCAATATGAGCGTACCAAAAACCATTGTTAATCGAATACGGATCTTGATCCACATCATCCACATGGCGGTGATGTGTACGGTGACCAGAAGCCCAGAACAAAATACTGTTTTGAACAGCAAAAGTTCCCATGATCATCAAAATGATTTTAAGTGGTAAAGTCGCTTCGTATGCACGATGTGCCCACAAGCGATGATAACCTGCAGTAATACCTAAACTACTGAGACCGAGTAAAACGAATAAACTAATCCAAGCTGCCGCACTAAAATCATGGTGGTAGGCATATAAAGGGATCGCAATTACTGCCACAAGAGGTAAAAAAACCAAGGCAAAAACACCGATCCAATTTATTGGGGCTTTGGGTAGGGGAGCATTCATCTCCAACAGCACTCCTAAGAACCTTAATCAGGTAAAGTTAAACGCATAGCTTCAGCATTTTTCTAGGCTATACTTTCACAGATATTATCATGGGCGAACATGTGTTCACTAGTATTAGTGTACATCTGTATTGTATAAAACAGTAACAGAATAAAACATGAATTCTAGCGGTTTGATCGAAAAAAATGAATGGTTAAAACGTCGTATTTAAATGTCACAATAGTGTAAGAATTTTTCTGTCTTATCCAATTTGATTTTTAGGGGGTTAGATAATTGATTCTCAAGTTAAATTTTAATTTTGGAACCCTCAAAAGTTCAAAATAAAATTCTACTTTATTGTGTTATTAAATGGATTTGAGTTATTGAATTTGCGCTAAGGCAAGCTGCATCATTTTTGGGAAATCAGTAATTAATCCATTGATCCCCAAATCTCTTAAATGCTTAGCGCGCTCAATATCATTGACGGTCCAAACACTGATGCCCAAACCTGCACGCTGAGTTGCTTGAATGAGCTCATCTGTTGCCAATTGATTCATCCATCCAATCTGGCAGCATCCCAGTTGTAATGCTTGTTCGATCGCACGTTGTTGGATGTCATCTTCAATCAGTAGACCACGTTTAAAACTTGAGTTTTGCTGTTGTAAGGCTTGATGTATTTTTAAATCAAAACTGGTAATCACTGCGACATTTTCAAAACCTCGCAGTTGTTTTTGTAATTCGATGATGAGTTGTTCAGCGTGTTGCAATGTTTCTACAGCTTTCACTTCAACTTCAATATGCTCAAAGTCCTGCATAATCTTTAGGCTTTGGCTTAAGGTAGGGGTAATTTGTTTTTCCCAATCCATCCAGATATTGGCTTGGTTATAGGCCGCTAATTCAGTGCTGTTTAAATCATACAGTGCTTGATCTATTCCGGTCGTTCTTAAAAAATTATCATCATGCATGATAATGAGTTCATCATCTTTTAATTGTCGAACATCGAATTCAACTGCACGGATACCTAAATCGTGAATATATTGAAATCCCGCTAAGGTATTTTCAGGTGCTTCACCACGCGCGCCACGATGTCCGATAATTCTCATAATGAACTCACATTCTCATTTTCATCTGTCTAGTAATCGTTTAAGTCTTACTTTTAGCAATAACTTGACTTTATCATACTGTTAAAAATTTACTTCTAGACAGTGATTTATCGTTAAATCGTATCATTGATGTTCTTTTGCCAAAGCACTTCACTACCACCTTCTGCACGTTGTAAGGTGCGTGAAGCAACAAAAAACCAGTCGGATAATCTGTTAATTAATTGTAGAGCAGTTGCTTGAATATTTTGATCACGACTGTGTACGGTCATTAAGCTGCGTTCTGCACGACGACATACAGCACGTGCTTGATGCGCATAGCTACATGCTAATGTTCCTGAAGGTAGAATAAAGTCCTTAAGCATTGGTAAGTCTTCATTCATTTTGTCGATTTCCTTTTCAAGAAATTCAACACAAACAGGTTGAAGCAAGTTGTAGTTAGGAATACAGACTTCACCACCTAAATCAAATAGCCAGTGTTGAATTAAACTCAGTGATTTATCCCAATCGGCTTTATCGACGATGTTACTCATTGAAATTTGTGAACGTAATACACCAACAATAGAATTTAGTTCATCTACATCACCGAGAGCGGTAATACGTAAGTCATCTTTCGCTACGCGAGAACCATCTCCTAATCCAGTGGTACCTGAATCACCTGTACGGGTATAAATTTTACTTAAACGATGTCCCATAATTTTGTCCTAGAGAAAAATGAAAAGATAAAGAATAAAAAAGGATAATGTCGGTCAAAACATTATCCATAAACTGCGCTGTTTTAGATATTTTTTTGGGTGTCGCTTTTAGTAGCGGAAAGTTACCCCTGCAGATGCAAGTCGACCACCGTTGATGTAGTAGTAACCATTACTGTATGAAGTTGTTTTGTATTCAACATCACCAATGTTTTGGATGTTTGTAAATAGTTTTACATTTGGATTTACATTCCAAAAAGCATTAACATCGACAGTAGCATAACCAGAAACTGTACTATTTTTAGGTCTAGATTTTGCAGAAAGTGATGTACTAATGCCATAAACTTCGTTCTGTATACCTGCTGTCAATGTTAGACTTTGACGCGAACGACGATTCAAGTCTTGATCTGTCTCTTTGTCTTTAGGTTGTACATATGCATAAGAAAGATTAGTAAATAATTCATCATTTGCCCAATCTAAATTAAACTCACCACCTGTAAAGGTTGCTTTTTTGACATTGTATAATCTGCTTTCATATGTGATTGGATCTGTCACATACGTGATCAAATCATCAACCTCATTACGATATGCAGATAATCCTAGGCTTAACTGATCAGTAATTTTTTGATCTAAACCAATTTCATAAGAAATACTTTCTTCAGGCTTCAAATTTGGATTTCCACCCCAATTTAGCGCATAAAGGTCATTGTTGGTTGGAGCTCGAAATGCTGTACCAATATTGGTATAAATACTTGTTGCAGGTGAAATTTGATAGCGTGCAGCTGCTTGGCCTACTGTATGCGTGCCAAAGGTTTCGTGATCTTCTACACGTAAACCCAATTGAGTATGTAGTTTATTTGATTGGTATTGATGTTGTACAAAATAACCTGTGCTATCTACATCTTTGTTGTAATCCACACCATAGGCACCACTACCTGAAAGCACATCAGATTTTATATTTTTAGTGGCTACACCAGCTAAAATATTCTGAGTTGGGGTAAATTGCCATTTACTATACAGTTCAGCTTCTTTTGTCGTGTTATAAATAGCATCATGTGAATCATTTTGTTCTAAGTCATCTTTAAATTGTGACAAACGTGTATTAACTGACAGATTATCATTAATGTTGACACGACCTTTAATATTGATCACTTCATTTTTAAAATCTTGCGATATATTTTTTAATCCAATTAGATTCCAATTGGTGTCATTTATACCATCAATATAAGTCGCAGTCCCTTGATTTTGTGAATAATCTATAGAAGCAGCATAATGTTCTTTTTCGATACCTACTTTTGCACTTAAGCCTTTTTGATCATATGAGCCCGCTTTGACATGAGCATCTTTAAAATCTGTAACTTGAGTACCATCGGATTCTAAACGTTGTCCTCGGATTTGTGCATAAAAACCATTTTCTGCGAGATCAGCACCTACAACAGATTTATAGGTATTGTGTTCACCAATTTCACCTGTGATGAAAGCACCCGTTTTTTCAGGAGTTTTTGAAATGAGTTGTACAACGCCTCCAATTGCATCTGTTCCATATAAGACTGATGCAGGGCCTTTTAGTACTTCAATCTGTTTGATATCAGTAGTATCAATAAAAGCTAATGATGCAGAACCAGCAGAACCTGTATTTAAACGAACACCATCACGGAGTACCAAAGTGTGAGTTGAATTAGTTCCACGTGTAAAGATAGAGGCTGCTTGACCATAACCACCATATTGCATCATATCAATAGAGGCATCACTCATAAGCAAATGCGGTAGTTCAGCAATTGGTGATTGTTCTAATATGTGTGGTTCAATAATTGAAATCCGTGCTGGCACATTTTCAATTTTTTCTTCAGAGCGAGTAGCAGTGATTACAATTGTATCAAGTTTCGAATTTGCTTCTGAATTTGAAGAAGTATCTGCAAAAGCAGGAGAAGATAACCCCATCGCAATAGCGACAGCACCTACAAGTGCAGTAGGTTTAAAAATAACAGACATGATATGCTCCATACATTCACTCCCCGTGAATGATTGAGTTTAAGGGCACAACAAGCTGGTATCCGGACTTAAATATAGAACCTAAAGCGATTCAGATTATTCCACCTTCCCACAAAACATTGCAGTGGTGTAAGTCTTTTGACTTATTAAAGAATAATATTTTCATTTTACCGTTGCGGGGGCAGTGTTGGATTTCCACCAACTTCCCAAAGCCTTAAGCTAGACTTGTTGCATTTGTGTGCAGTATAAAGTTTGTTTAGTGTATAAACAATGTAAAACAGATAATCCTATAGAACTTTAACGCAAGTGAATAAATTTGCTTTACAATGATTTGCTTAAAATACTGAAAAAATCAGTTTGGTCTGAACAAATTCGAGTTCAAAGCTATGCGTACCCGTGCCAAAATTTGTGGGATTACACGACCACAGGATATTCAAGCTGCTGTACAAGCAGGTGTGGATGCGATTGGTTTTGTGTTTTATGAACCTAGTCCACGTTATGTCACGATTGAATTGGCTCAGCAATTGGCACAACTTATTCCACCGTATATCAACATTGTTGGATTATTTGTCAATGCCAGCGCACAAGACATTGCACAAGTATTAGAACAAGTGCCTTTGGATATTATTCAGTTTCATGGTGATGAAACTGCACAACAATGTCAGCAGATCGCACAGTATAATAAGCGCCGTTGGTACAAAGCGATTCAGATTAAACCTGATGCAAAAAATTCAGATATTATTACGACAATTCAGCAATACCAACAGGCTGGTGCGAGTGCTATGCTTTTAGACGCATGGCATCCTGAACTGAAAGGAGGGACTGGACACAGTTTTGACTGGTCTCAATTCCCTAAACTCGATATTGCTTTAATTTTGGCAGGTGGTTTAAACCCTGAAAATATTGAAGACGCTATACAAACGACTCAAGCGTATGCAGTCGATGTCAGCGGAGGCGTAGAATCCGCAAAAGGTATCAAAGACCAACAACTCGTAGAACGATTTATGCAAGGAGTCCAACGTGGATCAGCAAAGTAATCAACAAAATAGTGTGATTGACTATACCCAATTCCCAGATCAAAACGGGCATTTCGGTATCCATGGCGGACGTTTTGTGTCAGAAACTTTAATGGCAGCTTTAGAGGATTTAGAGAAACTCTATTTCCGTATGAAAGATGATGCGCAGTTTCTGGCAGAATTCGACCGTGATCTCGCTTATTATGTCGGACGTCCTAGTCCGCTTTACTATGCTGAGCGATGGTCGAAAGAGTTGGGTGGTGCGCAAATTTATCTTAAACGTGAAGACTTAAATCATACAGGCTCACATAAGGTCAATAACACCATTGGTCAGGCGCTACTTGCGAAGCTTTCTGGCAAAAAACGTATTATTGCGGAAACGGGTGCAGGTCAACATGGTGTGGCGACAGCAACAATTGCCGCGCGTTTAGGTCTTGAGTGTGTGGTATTCATGGGTGCTGAAGACGTAAAACGTCAGGCCATGAATGTCTACCGTATGCGCTTGCTTGGCGCAACAGTTGTGCCTGTAGAAAGTGGTTCTAAAACATTAAAAGATGCCATGAACGAAGCGATGCGTGACTGGGTAACCAATGTAGATTCGACTTACTACGTGATTGGTACGGTTGCAGGTCCACATCCATATCCGCAATTGGTACGTGATTTCCAGTCGATTATTGGACGTGAAGCACGTAAACAAATTCAAGAGCAAGCAGGTCGTTTACCAGATGCTTTGGTTGCATGTGTCGGCGGTGGTTCAAATGCAATGGGCTTGTTCTATCCATTCTTAAATGATCAAGATGTTAAAATGTACGGTGTTGAAGCCGCAGGTTTAGGCATTGAAACAGGGAAACATTCTGCGCCATTAAATGCAGGCCATGTTGGCGTTTTACATGGTAACCGTACTTATTTAATGTCAGATGAGCAAGGTCAGATTATTGAAACACATTCAATCTCTGCAGGTTTGGATTATCCTGGTGTGGGTCCTGAACATAGTTTCTTAAAAGACATGCATCGTGTGAATTATGTGCCAATTAATGATACAGAAGCACTTCAAGGCTTCCGTGATTTGACTCATATTGAAGGGATTATTCCTGCATTGGAAAGTTCACATGCAATGGCTTATGTGACTAAACTCGCGCCAACAATGTCGAAGGATCAAATTATTATTGCGACGGTATCGGGTCGTGGTGACAAAGACTTAATGACTGTTGCACGTATTGATGGTGTTGAAATGGTCGAGATGTAATTCATCTTACTCGATCAATTTAAAAGCCTCTTTTATAGAGGCTTTTTTATTTCTGGACTAGACAGGATCATGGGGAAACTCTACAAAAAGCACATGGAAATCATGAGCTAAATTACCCAAAATTTACTGAAAATAATCGGTTAATTTTTAATATGCCTTTTTTACAACGGGTTCGAGCTGAACCTTTTCCTGAAAAAATTGTCTGGGGATGGAAAGACACATTTGCGATTTGTATCATCCCTTTAATTATTTTAAATGGTTTTATTTTAGAAAAAATATTTGGAATCTCGATAGCTGCTAGTCTGGGCGATACCATTTTAAGAGGCGTGCTGTTTATTTTAGTGTGCTACTTATATAAGGATATGTTGCTTACGCATTGGCAAAAGTATAAACAAGCCTTTTGGCGCTCAAGTGTCTTGGTGGTGGTCGGTGCAATCGTGTTACAAGTGGTGATCTCACTGACACGTCAGTTTTTACCCCTCAGGCCGAGTACACAAGAAAAAAGCCTGATTGATCCTGAACATATTCCTTTTCTCAGTCTGTTGGTGATTAGCTTGGGTCCACTATTTACTGCGCTTTTAGAAGATATTGTGTTTCGCTATACTTTATTGCAAAAGTTATTTATCCAACCGTGGTTATGGCGCATTGTACTGATTATATTGAACTCTATATTATTTGGTCTGATCCATTATCATAATTTTGACGGAAATTTAATCGCGACAATCAGCTTTATGAGTGCAGGTTTATTTTTAAATCTGATCTATTTGTGGACACGCAATATTTGGCATGTATTACTCATTCATTTTTTGAACAATGCCGTATTATCTGTGGGTGGGATTTTATTATTAAAACTTGTTCAAACATTAACTTAGTGACTTTAGTGACTGAATATGTCTAGTTTATTTATCGTTATGCTGGGTGGCCGTCATGCACGTGCCAATGTTGAAGTTCATGATGTGGTTCTTGCCGTAGGAGATTCGCTTGAAGAGGTTTATCCTCAATTAAAAAATGCGTGGTTTGGTGAGCAACAGGGTTTACACATCGACGCATGGCAAAAATTACAGGCTTTAGTGTTTGAAAATAAGAAATATCAAATACATTTTACTGATGCGCAACCGAATGCATCAGATCAGAAGCTTTGGCTAATTAATTTAGGCGGCTATGATGCAAATGAGTTTGGTGAGTTACACCGCTATATCTTGATTGTTGCTCAAGATGCGATTGAAGCGAAAGCCAAGGGTAAACAGCATTTTGCAGGGCATTGGCAAAAACCACATACCGATCGAGTTTTAGAGGTAGATGATTGTCTGGCGATAGATCAGGTATATGGCCGTTATGTGCAATTGATTGAAGTAGATTTGAATGCTGATTCTCATGTAGAGCTTGACCAAAGTGTTTGGGAGAATACCTATTTGACCATCTGAGTTGTCATCGCTTGATCTGCTTAAAAAGGGCGCTGTATTGCAGCCTTAAAAGATTAAGCGTATCTTAATTTTAAAAAATTGACATCAATCATTGCATTGCTCTCTCATAATCTAGTTAGTGTAACAACAGAAACTTCGCAATGTTTTCAACAAGTTTACGTAGACTAAAAACTCAAACAAAACACTGCGGAGTGTGATCAATGAGCGGTTTATTAGACGAGTTAGGTAAAATTGCAGGTGCAGTGATTGCTGAGCAAAGTGTCGATACGTTAGATCCTGATGCTGGCTTTCTAGAAAAAGCAGCTGGCGCATTTGCAGGTTATGAAGCCGCAAAAATTGCCGAAGACAAACTAGAAAATAGTGATGAGCAGCAGAAAGCAGAGGATTAACTCAAGATCGCTAAACTCAGCTTTGGGCATTGATCTTAATCAATCCTGTGTACATATCAATAAGCTACAGGGATGAATAAGTTCAGTATCGGGATGACAGCTGTGATCAAAGAGAGGGCATATTCGATATGCTCTTTTTATTATCTAAAATAAAGATAAGCAATGAAGAAAATCATCCATAACGTAATAAAAGCATGCTTTGCCCGTAAAGCATTGCCAATTCGATCTTTGCACAATGCTTATCAATAAAACCGCTATAAAATATGGAAAAAAAGCATTTCTTTGATAGATCAATACTCGTTATATTGTGCATCGTTATAATGAAACTACTAGCTGTACGCCATGTATTTATATACTGATTTCGATCAGCAACTGATCAATGAACGTGTTGCACAATTCCGTGATCAAACGGAACGTTATTTAGCTGGAAAACTCACTGAAGATGAGTATCGTCCATTACGATTACAAAATGGTTTATACGTACAGCGTTATGCGCCAATGCTACGTATTGCTGTACCTTACGGTTTAATGAACTCTAAACAATTACGTAAAGTTTCAGAGCTTGCCAAAGAATATGACCGTGGTTATGCACACGTTTCGACACGTCAGAACATTCAGTTTAACTGGCCTGCGCTAGAAAATGTGCCTGATATGCTTGAAGGTTTAGCTTCTGTTCAGATGCATGCGATCCAAACTTCAGGAAACTGTATCCGTAATACCACAACAGACCAATACGCTGGTGTTGTTGCTGGGGAAATTGCAGATCCACGCCCGACGTGTGAATTGATTCGTCAGTGGTCTACATTCCATCCTGAGTTTGCATTTTTACCGCGTAAGTTCAAAATTGCAGTTTCCGCACTTGAAGAAATTGATCGTGCAGCAACTTCATTCCATGACATTGGGGTGTATTTAACTCGTAATGAAGCAGGTGAGTTGGGTTATAAAATCAAAGTGGGTGGTGGCCTAGGTCGTACACCTATCATTGGTTCTATGATTCGTGAGTGGTTGCCACGTGAAGATTTAATTGCTTATTTAGAAGCGGTTCTGCGTGTTTATAACTTGCACGGTCGCCGTGACAATAAATATAAAGCTCGTATTAAAATTTTGGTTAAAGCATTAACACCACAAGTTTTTGCTGAAAAAGTTGAAGCTGAATTTGCTGAAACAATTAAAACCTTGAAAGTTCAACCTGAAATTTTGCAAAAATTAGACGAAGAGTTTATGCCGTTTGATTATCAAAATTATGCAGATGAAGATTTCAGTGGCTTATTTGCTGAATATCCAAAGTTTAAACAGTGGTTCAATATCAATACCAATGCACATAAAGTTGCAGGCTATCGTATTGTCACTATTTCACTAAAACGTGCGGGTATTGCACCAGGTGATATGACTGTTGAAGAAATGAATTTGATTGCAGATCTTGCAGACAAATATACATTTGGTGAATTACGGACCACACACGAACAAAATATTTCATTGGTTGATGTACCACAGAAAGATTTATTTGAATTATGGCAAACGCTTGAAAAGAATAATCTTGCTCGGGCACATATTGGTTTTATTACCGATATCATTTGCTGCCCAGGTGGTGACTTCTGTTCATTGGCAAATGCCAAATCTATTCCGATTTCTGAAGCCATTACACGCCGTTTTGATGATTTAGATACGGTCTATAACTTAGGCCATATCGACTTGAATATTTCAGGTTGTATGAATGCTTGTGGTCATCACCATGTCGGCAACATCGGTATTTTGGGTGTGGACAAAAAAGGCGCTGAATTCTATCAAATTACCTTGGGTGGAAATGCAGACCATGACGCTTCAATTGGTGATATTTTAGGACCATCATTTGCAGCAGAATCTGTACCTGACATTATTGATGAAATTTTAAATACTTATCTTGATCTTCGTAACGAAGGTGAAGAATTTATTGAAACTTATCGCCGAGTGGGTATCCAACCTTTTAAGGAGCGCGCATATGCTTAATACCGCACTTCAAGTCCTCTCTAAAGATGGCACTGTTGCAGACAATACCTATCAAATCATTGCTGAAGATGGAGTATTGCCACAAGGTGATGTGTTGTTGACCGTTGACCAGTTGGATCAGCTTGCGAATGTGACGGGAAAAAAAGCACTATTTCTTACCGTAGATGCTTCACCTGAAACCAATGCGTTTCCATTAGATCAGTTAGATGCGATCTTTATTGATTTCGCAGGTTTTAATGATGGTCGTGGTTATTCATTTGCTGCGTTGTTACGTCGCCAAGGCTATACAGGCGATCTTCGTGCAACAGGCGATGTGTTTAAAGATGTCTTGAACTATATGAAGCGTTCTGGTTTCGATACTTTTGTTGTAAAAGAAGGTAAAGATATCCATGAGGCAGCAGCAGGTTTAGGTGATTTTACTCACCCTTACCAAGCATCTACAGCTGTACCAAAAGCACATTATCAAACAGGTGCTTGATTGCTCTAAGTACTGATTTTGAAATGAAAGCCGAACTTAAGTTCGGCTTTTTATTGTTCTCAAGTTAAAGCTGGTGTAGCCATTGCTTATTATGAATATGATATGAACGATATAAATTGGTATTCGGCTTTATTTGTATCGTGCCCAAATCAATATTGATTCAACATAACATCATTAGGTAGTAAACCTTCTCTACTTAAAAGCATCTATAAAAATCATCGTTGCATTTTTGCAATGTTGTAGGCTGGAAAAGTCTATATATCTACAACAATGAACAGCAGATAATTAAACAAAGATGATTCATGGTGGATGAAATGTTAAATCAAACAATGGGTGACTTATCGCTACTCAAAGGCTGGAACGCAACTTTACCCAATACTGAAGTCATGCCTGTACTATTTTTGGGACATGGTTCACCCATGAATGCGATTCAAACCAATGATTTTACCCGTACTTGGAACAGCATTGGTGCAGAAATGGACGTACAGCCCACAGCAATTTTATGTATTTCCGCACATTGGCTTACCCAAGGTGGTACTGCCGTCACTGCAATGCAACAACCGAAAACCATTCATGATTTTGGTCGTTTTCCTCAAGCTTTGTTTGATGTGCAATATCCTGCTACTGGAAATAAAGCTTTGGTTGAGGCAACAACTGAAACAATTCACAGTATAGAAATTCATCATGATCATAGTTGGGGATTAGATCACGGAACATGGGGCGTGTTATGTCATGTATTCCCACAAGCCAATATTCCTGTTGTTCAATTGAGTGTCGACTATAGTCAAGGTGCCCAATATCATTATGACTTGGCTAAACAATTAGCGCAGTTACGTCGTAAAGGGGTATTGATTGTTGCCAGTGGTAATCTCGTACATAACCTAAGCAAAATTGCCTTTGATAAATTTGATGATCATTATGGTTATGATTGGGCTTTAGAAGCTGATGCAAAGATGAAAAATTTCTTAGCCACGCATAACCATCAAGCTTTAATTGACTGGCAAAAGCAAGGTGCTGAGTTTTTATTGTCGATTCCCACACCTGATCATTATTATCCGATGTTATATGCCTTAGGCTTACAGGAAGAGAAAGATGAGTTACATATTTTTAATGATCAAGCCGTCGCTGGTTCATTAACCATGACCTCATTTCGACTTGATCAACATTAATTTCAAATGTTAAGAATATAAAAGTTGGGTCTAAGGATTCAACTTTTATAGTATTGATGAGATTGAGTTAGTCGTATTTATTCTCTCAAGATAGAACGCTTTTAAGATCATTGCGCAATTTTCAAATATTGAGGTCTTACTTCCTTACAGAGCAGTTTAGATATCACTGAATCCATATGAAATTTAGAATAATGGCGAATTAATAAATTTATAGAAAAATGCTGTAGCTAATGATGGTTCTAACAGTAAAGGAAATAAGAAACCATAGATTGCACCAGCAATATGCGCGCGGTGGTCGATTAATGGCGAATGTCCTGAACGGATTGCATACAGGCTATAGCATAAATAAATCGTGCCAAAAATAATCGCGGGCACAGGTAAAATATAGATATAAATCATGCCCCAAGGATTAAACAGAATCGCACTAAATAATACTGCATTAACGGCACCCGAAGCCCCTAAACTTCGGTATGAATTTAGGGTTCGATTATGCAAATAGCTGGGAATCGCAGCAATGATGATAGCGCTACAATAAAATAAGACAAAGCCCATACCACTTAAGTAATCACGGAAAAACCATTCAACATTTCGCCCAAAGAAGTACAAGGTAAACATATTGAAAAATAAATGCATACCATCTTTATGGATAAAACCATGGGTTAAAAAGCGATCATATTGACCATGCTTAATCGCTGAAACATTGAAAATCAAACGATTCATTACATTGCGTTGCTGCCAAGCAATAAAAGAAATCGCAAGTGTGATTAAAATAATCAGAAGGGTATGGGTAAGACCAGTGATCATATTGTTATAAATGACGTTGTTATCGTAATAGCAATATAACCTATATCATTGTCAATCAATAGGCTATCGCAATATTCTGTTCATTATCCTTCATTCAGTTGGCAGTTCACCATCCAGCGAATACCAAACTGATCGGTGAAAGCACCATATAAAGCACCCCAAAATGTAGGTTCTAGTGCCATTTCAATATGACCATTGGTAGAGAGTGCTGTAAATAATCGCTGAGCTTCATCCGCTTCGTGAGCTTCTAAGTTGATTGAAATATAATGGTTGGTGCCTTTGCTGAATGGCGCACTATTAGGTGCACAGAACTGCTCGCTGGTGTCTGAACCCATCAATACGGTAAACTCATTAATCGGTAAAGAAACGTGTAAAATATAGTTTTTCTCTTGGTCTGGCACTTGGACATCGGGCAGTTCGGAATAACGTTTTAAAAATGAAAATTCACCGCCAAAAACAGATTTATAAAAATTAAAAGCAGCTTCCGTCTGACCTTCAAAGTTTAAATAGTGATTAAGTTGCATTGTGATTATCCATTTTGTTGTTTTGAAGTGATTAATTTATCAGCTGATGGTTTAAAACTTGATAAATATTTTGTAATTGAAAACAAAAATCCCTCAATCATAAATGAGGGACTTTTGTTTTCTAGGTTATCGCTGTTGTCTGCTTAAAGCTGTTTATCTTGTTGTTGCTCTAATTTTAAATCCTGTTTATTGGCATAACCGTCTATATCTTCATTTTGAAGAACTTCATTTGGGTTTGGACGATCTACAAAGCCAATTTTTGGTACAGGGATTTCAATCTGATTTTCCACAAAACGATTTCGGATTAACTCATGAATCTCATCTTTGACTTGTAGATAGTTTGCTTGCATACACCACAGCGCAAATAAAATTTCAATGGAGGATTCTCCAAAGGCAGAAACAGTTACACGCGGTTTAGGATCTGCTAATACCAACGGGTAATCGTTGGCAACATCAATTAAAACTTCACGAACTTTATTGATGTTCTCATTAAAGTTAATTGCAACCGTAATCGACAATCGCCGTATCGGGAATTTTGATAGGTTATGTACGGGGGCGCGAATCAATTGCTCATTGGGGAGGCGCACATAGACATTGTCCATAGTCAAAAGTTTCACGGAAAGTAAATCAATCGAAATCACTTCACCTTCAATGGTATGTCCACGAATCAGGGTAATTTGAATCGTATCGCCAACTTCAAATGAACCTTCGCCAATTAAAAATAAGCCACTGATTAAATTTGATGCAGAAGTTTGTGAGGCAAAACCCAATGCAACAGTTAAAATCCCTGCTGCACCTAAAAATACGCTGAGTTTAAAGCCCGCTTCTTTTAAGCTGGCAATCACAAACAGTAAGAAAATAAAATAAAAAATACCTCTACGCCAAACCAAACGTTGGTGCGCATTAAAGCGCGCACCTATGGTGCGGATAAAGGTATTGGAAATGACGCGTGCCAGCACAAAACCCACAAAGCAGAGGATCAGAGCAACAGCAATTTCACTTAAGCGGTCGACATTTACATTGGTAAAGATGCCTTTTAGGCTATTGGCAA